TTGACCCGAAGCTGAAATAATGTTGTGGTGGTTGTGTGGAACGTTTATGACTACGGCGGGACTGTAAGTAGTTTCGATGCGTGATGCAATTGTGCTAGTGACACTGACCAACATATGCTGATATTCTGTGCATGCTGCACTGCTACACTATTTAGTGAATATATATTCTGACAAATGCTGCATTAATGGCGCTGGTAGTACATCTAACACTTAGTCACCGTTGCAGGATCGTAGAATTAATTCCTAGATCATTGTATACTAGGTTGTATGAACTTGAACTCGCTGGTAGTTACCAGTACTAAGCTTGAGGCACATCACATGGCCGCACAACACAAACACCAGTAAAATACATTGCGCAATTTCATTTTTTCAAACCAATACATGTACGGTACGCAATCAAAACTAAGTAACAACTATGTAGCAATTGTTAGAGTTGGCTCATTGTCTCTGTCAAGTCCTCAAGCTGCGACCACAGATCATGCGAGTCTGAACTCGCAGATGAGTCTACAGGTGAAGGAATGTTGGGCGAGGACTCTGGAGGGGATGGCCAGAAAGGACCACCTGGCAGTGGAACTGCCCGGACTCTGCCTTCGTCATATTTGACCGCGTATGCAGTCAATGCTTGCTGAAATGACGGGTACCCTTTCTGAACATTACCACTGACGAAATTTGTTCATTCAGCGACGTCAGCCCTAACCACAACATCAACAATTATTCAACACACGCCAACAGGTACTCGGCTTACCAGCGGTAGAACACACCAACTTCCTGCCCGACTGTTATCGCCCAGAATCCCTCAGGTACCTCATCAGCTCGTGGAGGACGGATATCGCTAGGTTTTAGAACTGCTGTGACTTGGCAGGGTGTCTGGGTGACCGTTTGCAAAGCCTGAGGCTGGGGGTGGGGTGGGGTAGACATGCGAGGTGGGGTAGGAGGAATGGGCACTGTTTTTTTGGGGAAAGAACGAGTGCTGGAACATCTGGATTGCGGGAGCGATGATCTTGACAGTGTGATAGACTCTTCAGTTGTCTTGCGGCTCCAAGTGACGGTGTCAAACGACGACTCTGTTATTGAGTGTGAACATGTTAGTTTTGAATGAGGACAACACTCACCTGATAGTGTCATCTCCTGCAGCAAAGTGCGCAAATCCTGGATATGATCACCCTGGGTAGGGTGGCTACTAGATGATGTCGACATCGTAGGAGTGATGTCGTGAATTCGGACTTGGTCGGAGTGCTACAGATAATCAGTCACGTGAAGAATAGATAGGACCTGACCTACAGTACTAGTAGCACAAATGTTTGAATGGCACGGAATGGTAGAGTACACCAGCGAGTCCGCACAAACCTCTCTCTGCGATCCATTCGGCACATTGGGGCATCGAGGGACAAGAATGGATTGCCAGTCAATTGCGTATCCAAGGTGCTCAAACACACACAGCTGGTTCAGCAAGCGGCAAGTTCCAATGAGCGGCGGCAAGCACGTCTACAAGGTATTTAATGTTAATTCAAATACTTAAAAAAAACCCTCACCTCTTGTAAAGCTATGAGTTTGGAAGAGCGTCGCGCTCTCGAAGCGCTAAAAGAGGACACCAATACCATAGAGGACTGCCAGGAAGACTTCGAAGATATGAGCTTTGGCGATATCTGGAATGGGACCGAGTCACTCGCCATCAGTCACGCTGGTGGCGAGTTCACTGACCTTGCAAGAGAGGTTTTAGGAGACTTTTGGAAAATGTGAGTGTTGGTGAGTATTTACCGTAAATGTGACGTACCTTTGTGAGCAGCAACAATCGTGTACAACGCGTGAATAAACGCACCCGTCGTGATCGCGTCCTCCGCAGGAACAATGCGTTTGCTGAGCAGATGGTTGTGATGACCGACGCGTACCTTGTGTGGAGTCTGACCAAATGTGAGGACGCCTTCAGAGGTTTTTTTGAGAGATTGGAGAAGGAAGGGTTGGGGAGTGACTCTAACTGTGGCCAATGGTCAATCAGCGTGATAGACGTGTTCTGTAAGTGATCCGATCTGTTGTTGTTTGCTTACGATTTGATGACGGCATGTCCGGCTCATTGTAGACGCTGAGAAAGTCAGTCTTCGAATCTTGTCAACAGACACCACCATCAGCTCTGCGCTGGTCCGTCAAGGCGTAATGCCGTGTTCTCCTATATCGCCAACCGTGGGCATCACCACCGAAGCACTCGACTTATATCGTGTAGCACATCTCAGGAGTCCTCAAATGTCAATTCAAGCGTTCGTAAAAACTGTTTGTGACTTACATGGTGTATGTCGTTTTAGTTGTTTTGATATTCTGATATCTTATCATGCGCAGGTTGCATTCCACAGACACTTATCTCGTCAGTTCTCTATTGCATTCGACTTATATCTTCAAGTTCGACGTTCCGTGGCAGCCATGGTAGCTGAGTCATTACAACGTGACTCACCCGATTTTCGCCTGAAACACGCCTGCCCCGCATGCACATACATACTAATGGATGAACCCAAGTTGACTTTTAGCTTGCTTTACGCCATGGACGGCAACGACTCTTTAAAAAGAGTCATTCGAAGATCTCTAGATACTGACGACTCTCTCGGCGCATCTTCAGAGCTTCCAACTGGACAGCAACTCACAAGCAACCGCTATCTATCTCGCACTTATGTAGATCAGTTCGCGCGGGACTCCGCTACTGCGGATGATGAGGTACGAGGCACTTTGATTTGGGTTGGTCACGGCTAATACTAACTATTAGGTTATACATGCCGAGAACTCGTGTGAAGGACGCTGGAAGAATATGGACGATACAAAGACGAAGAAAGCATGGGGTATTTACGATGAGACGGGCATTTTTGTGGCCGTGTGCCGACATGGATTCACTCTGCTCGTTGCAGATATGATACAGAGTGGCGAGCTGTAAGTTTTTTTGGGTACGTTGTTAATAAATTCACAATTGTTTTACAGTGCGAAGTATCCGTTGGCCGTTGTTTCGAAGTTGCTGGAGGTATTTGGAAGCAATTTGGGTGGCGGGTATGACATCGGTTGTCAATTCAGGACCACGCTCGATAATAGTTCTATTGGACCCCTTGCACGGTCTCTGCATCACACTTGCCTTGTCGGCGCCTTCCACGGACATGCGCACAGGCGATTGTGCCAACTTTTCTCGCTTACTACTTACATCAAAGGTTTGGGACTCGAGGACCTGGAGGTATGCGAACGAACGTTCTCGAAGTCCAATTCATTGGCGTCCGCACTACGTTATGCCAGCGTATTCCATCGACAACAAGCCATCGACACATATTTCGAACACAACGATGACTTCGAAGTGTATGCCAATCTATGTAAGCTGTCTCATTGTAAAACGTGATCTGTGCTGACATAATCCTTTTCAGCCGATTTTTTATACAACAACTACAGGCAAGCGCTCGACATACTGAATGATGGTAGCACGACCCTACCAAACCTTATGCGGGATCTCAAAGTCGCAGACGAGACTGTGTTCGAGCGCTGGCTGGAGGAAGAGAAGGTATATCTACAAGGTCTGACGCAAGAACCTGCGGACGAAACGTTGCAGATGGAATACTGGAAAACGCTGGCAAATCTTGCTGCGAGCAAGTAAGTTCAGTTCTTGAGGTATATGCCTCGCGCTCACTAACACAAATTGTACAGGGAGGCTCTGGATGCTGCAATGACAGCGTTCCAGGACTCATCTCACCTCGAGGGTGCATCATACGATGGGCAGGTAAAAAATACCCGCAAAGCCGAGAGTGCGCGACGGCACGCTCTTGAGGATTACGACAGGCACCTGAAACTCGCTCAAGTACTCGAGTGTAAGCTGGAGGTCGAGAAACGCTGGGTGGCAGAAGACACGCAGTGGCAGAAGGTTGGAAGACTCGTGGCAAACCGGAAATACCAGCGTGCTCTGGATCGTCTCGAGGGATTGATTGTTGCCCGCATATTTGAGTTGACAAAGATGAACCGAGCGGGTACAGGTGAGTTTTTAATAGCTATATCTTACTTGCGCGTGCTAATTCCAATACCATGTAAGGGTATAAACTACGGAAGCATATCGCTAAAGCACTCCAGGCTCGTTCCATCGCCATTAGATCTGCACTTACCACGTACAACTCTATCGCCAGCTCGATGTACCCTGCCCGCAAAACCCTAAAGTGGGAAGAGGTCGTCGAATATGCGTTTCTCGCTGATTTTGACCTCTTGCGCGACACGCGTGCAGACATCTCTCAACGGCCTTGGGCATCGGCTGCTGCTCGCAGAGCGATGGATCTCTATTTCAAGATGTGTCGGGCGCGGGAGGAAATTCAGCGCTTGAATGTGGAGGTACGGCGCCTAGTGACGTACATTCAAGACGAAGACAAATATCTGCGGGCATGCGAGGATCAGTTGAAGTCTGTCAGTCCAACTCTCGCCAACCAAATCGCTATACATCGCAATGTTCGAGGACGGTTTAATTCGCGTCACCTGAAGCGGCTCTATGACATTTCGAACCTTCCTGGCTTCAGCGGGACCATAGCCCCAGGTATGAGCACTAATACAGGTCTTGGAGAAAGCTCCAGTACACCCAACGCGCAGGTCCCATCACAACTACTGGCAGGGCACCCACCTTTTAATGATAGACGATCTGCAGTGGTGCCGGATACTCCAGATGACTTGGATGAGGAGGAACAGGAAGAGGAGGTGGAAGAGGAGGCATCGAGAAGCCTGCAGGATGTCCTCCGTGTCGCCGATGATTTCTCGCGTCTGGAACTTCATGACCACGCTGATGAAGAGTAGTATAGCATAGTTAACACATTGTATGGACAAATATGACTGATTTACGTATTTTAATGTTCACTTGCGCAAAACGCGCCATCAATCCATCCACGTCATCGCGAGATACTCGAGCTCATCGTGTCGCACAGCGAACTCGAAAGTCCGGCACCTTAAGCGACGTCAGGAACACGTCGCGGCGTTTACCGATATGCCGGCGGCACTTAGCTCTTAATCCTACAGCGCTATATAAAGTCCCTCGCTATTCAAGAGATATCAGAGGAGGCTCTGATCGCTTATATCCGCCTTGTCTTACAGGTGCGAATCCCATCTATTATCAACTATAATTACGGTCGTTAAGTGGGAGTCACAGGTGAAGCAGAAGTCCAAGTCTTACGAAGTTCCACATCTAGGTCCTCTTCGTCATAAGACCGGGCCCGTGTCAATGGCATCAACATCGATTACCAATGGTTCGGGGGATGATAGTACTAGCAGTGATGAGCATGTCTTTTCCGAGACTTGGAGCAGGACAGTTTTCACTCTCTTCAAATGACGGGTAAGCACATTCACACTCTTCTTAACTGCCTGGCTGACAGACTTCAGAGATGATGCTATCGAAGACGATTTTGACGAGTATGATTGGATGGAAGACTCATCAGCCTTCTTTGAGTGGCGCATGAGAGGAAGGTGAATAGTATCCTGAATTTCTTCACAACCCATTGGACTCCTAACTCGTACAGAACTTGGGTACTACAAATCATTGCTTCTGTCCGAACTCATGGAATATCATTTTACTGGCAAATCAGCATAGCTAGTGGCGTCGATTATCACTCTGAATTAACATTGCCACTCGATGAACCTTATGAGTAATAAAATTTTGACCCTCGCACCCTCAGGCAAGTCAAGGATCCATACCCGTCCAATACCGTAAACCGCAACAGGTATGCACGGTGTACGTGTGGGTCTCTATAATCGACACCATACCCGCACCCCTGCTCTACCCTATCTCGGAGTCTCCATTTCCATTCCACCCTCGGTATTCTTAATTATCCCAACCTCTCCTCGTCTAGTCTTGCACAAGCTCTGCTTGTGTGCTGAATAGTTCTTCATATCACCCTGTACAAGAATGATGGTTGTGATACTAAAAGTCCGTCTTGTTATACTCTAGCTCCGCTATTTTGTCGCTGCGCAGGGTCACTGCAGGTTCAACTGATGAAGCGATGACCGAGAGATCGGGTCATGACACGATGTTTGTATTAACACATCTGCAGGTTCTGCCAAACCTTCTGTCATATTAGCAACAACAGTTGTGCCAAATCGATCAGAGTCGTTCCCATAAGTATATGCAGGATATAAAAGTTGGCCGTTTTCCTATGATGTTTCTTCATCCTCAGAGATATCATCCGAGATCTCCCTCGAAAATATTAGAAAACACCTCGTACAGGCAATGCGCTTCTCCCTCCTCCTCCTCGTTGTTGCTTTGACAACAGTTATATCTGTCAGTGCATGTTCGGACCTGGGTGGATCTTGCGCAACAAATCAGGATTGCTGCTCTACTGACAACTTGATCTGTCACAATGATGGTGTGAGTATGAGCAGGTCGCTGCGCAACCAAGGTTGAACCACATGACTCACCTGAATGCCTTAGGGTCATCACTACTGCGGGTACTAGTCAATTGAAAATTGAGCAGGACCTTAGCCCGAGCGGCACGTCGTGACAGTGAGTCATATTTCTGCTTTCGCTTTGGTATCATGATTGATGGTACAATAACTAGTTCACCAATCAGTACTCTTGTTTTAGACAAATTTTAGTACTGCTCGAGCAATGTGGATGTTTGAATTTATCTGGAAATGATCGGCTGTGCTCAATCTTGCTTGTGGTCCACTAAGCTTGGGTTTGAAGGGTTATCGGAAGTTGTCATCGAGTCCGCCATGTTATACTCTGTTTTCTGCGTGATTCTTATAGTTTCCACTGCGTCGAATTCTGACGGCGTCTCGAATCTATTCAACTTATCCATTACCAGTGTTCAGGTAAGCAAACAAAAGCCTGTGTGGCCTGCGTCTCTGATGCTAACTTGAACATCTGGAATCTAGGGCATTTCTCAACTGCTCATTATCATCTGCGTAGCACGGGGGCGGGCAATCACACGCGAGTGGTCGACCCGCGTTACTGCAACATCTGCAGCGCCTACGTCTATAGTATTTTTGTCAGATATAACAGATGGAGTCGACATGGAGCGAATGGACACTCCAGAGCAGGATGGCGTACCATTGTATTCTGTTCAGTCGGCGAAGGCAGCCAAAGCTGAAGTGTGTATGACATGACCTTGACCTGGTGTAACGCTAGTTTATTTATGTATTGTACTTCATTTACACTTGCTACTAGAGCTTTCGAAAGCCTTTGCCATTACGGTGGGGATCACCTATCATTATGCACAATTTCATGGACAATTGACTCATCGTCAGCTCAGAAGCAGAATTTCAAATTACCCATCTTGCGACTCGACGGAGCCTCTTTGATATGAAGTTCATCACCCCCTTCTCCCAATTCTGCACTGCGGTTAGCGTTCAAACGTTCAATTTTTACCGCCAAGGTATGCGGTGCATTTATAGACATGAGTGTCTGAAGATGGATATAAGGCCATGAAGAGAATTGGGTCACGACACAATGTTTGTAATTCAACACACCTGCAGGTTCTGCCGAAATTTCAGCCATCTTAGCAACAACAATTGTGCCGAATCTATCAGATTCGTGTTCGTCAATATAAAAGCTGGCCGTCCTCCTATAATGATTCTTCATCCTCAGAGATATTATCCGAGATCCCCCTCAGAGTATTCCATAACATCTCGCACAGAAAATGCGTTTCTCCCTCCTCGCCGTCGTCGTCGCTTTGACAGCATCTATGTCTGTCAGTGCATGTGGGAACACGGGTCAATATTGCACTGTAGATTCCGATTGCTGCAAGGACATGATTTGTTACGATTATGGAGTGAGTATGAGCAGGTCGCTGTGCAACTAGGATTCAACCACAAGACTGACCTGCGCGCCTTAGGGCGCTCGCAACTGCCAGGGATAGTCGGTTGAAGGTCGAGCGCTCAATAGGAAGCCAGAGCAGGGCACCGCGACAGTGAGTCATGTTTCTCCTTTCGCTTTGGTGTCATGGTTCATGGTGCAATATCTAGTTCGTCAATCAGTACTGTTGTTTTAGACAAATTTTAGTACTGCTCGAGCGACTTGGGTGTTTGAATTTATCTGAAAATGATCGGCTGTGCCTAGTCTTGCTTGTGGTCCACTAAGCTTGAGTTTGAGGGGTTGTCGAAAGTTCGAATGACTCGATATACCTAGTCGCTTGTCGTCGTGCAGCATTCATATAGGACAATATTCACAGAGTGGTTGACCTGTGTTGTTGCAGCATCTACATCTATAGCATTCTCGGGGACTGTGTTGGACGCGATCGAACATTAAGCCGATAGCTATACGAGAGCAGGAAGGTGTTCTTCTCCTTCGGTAGAGGGCAGAAGTTCGTGTGAATTTATGGTCTGTATACGAACGTACCAAAGTCAAAATCAATACATTATTTAATATTCATAAATATGCGTCCATGAAACTTTTGTCTCATTGGATATCGATGACTCGGACGATGTACAGCTCCTAGACAAATATGACCAGATCAACGCTGATCTAGCTCCAGTGTTAAAAACTGAGTTTTTAATCAAATACTTGAGTAGCAACTCGTTTTATAATAAATTTATCATATCATGCGCTTTGAATTCGAAGGGGCGGCACCCCACTTTGAATTATCTCCTCGCACGCTTAAATTCCATCATCGTCCGACTCTACTCATGAATTCAGAATGCTATCCATCATCCGCACGCTACATACCTGTCCAATCAATTCAGTTTATTCATCAATTACTCGAACTCCGGCGTAAGCGACTATGTACCGGCCATCTGGGCACGCAATCCCAGTCCCAAGGTCCTTGCCTCCAGCCTCCTTTCACCAATCGTATCTCTGCTCCTTCAAGGCGAAAGCCTACCCACGGCACCAACAGTCCACATAAGCCTCCGCATCCATCGGAGGGTACAAGCACCCTACATTCGCCTTCCCATCATCCACCCGCAGGACTTCACCACGAGTGGTCCGCGCTAATGCCTGCATCCGCGTGGAACGGATCCAACTTCATAGCAAGAGTTAGGAAACATGGGACTTATCAAGTTCGTGTCAGCAGCCAACGTTGCAACACCCGTCGTCATCAGCTCAATGACAGGCATCTTCGACCTTGTCTTCCTCATCAGATATGTCAGCGCTCGTGTATGAGAATATCGGCATATCATGCAGAGGGGAGGGTTACACTTACTTGCTGCATCCGCTGTTATAGCATGATACGCAGAAGGGAGCAGCAGAGGGAAAAATGTAGCGTGGATTGGGAGTATCATTTCGGATGGTACCCACAGCTGATGTCTTCTGCCACGCATCTTTTCCCGTGTTCATCTCATAAGGCAGACTCAACCGTCCCTCCGTCCGGCTTACGAAAGCAGTAACAGGATGGCCCGACTGCAAATCGATACGCTGATCGCCAACACTGTTCGATTTCTTGTATCAGTATCATAACTCGACCCCATCGATTTTTGTCCATGTCTTGATTTGTACACGGGGATGCTGACACTTGGCGACGTCGGACGTTATCATAATGGCCGTCGGTCGCAGCAAGCTCAGAACTCACACGGGATTCAACTCGTTAGACTGATCAGAAAGGCGAGTGTTTCTCATGGTCCTCTTTAGACGCTCTCTCGTACGTTGATATGATACGCATGAAAAGGCTTCAGGTTACACCGAAGACCATGGCATAAGCGACATCCAAGACTGCAAATTTCTCCTTGGACCTAATACAGACATCTTGTAAGTCGATTTTTCCTTTTCACAATGGCGTCATCTCAGTCCCTCGAAAAGATGCATTTAGATTCCAGAGGATAATGCATGCGGTCGATGAACTTATTGTTTAGTGAAAACGAGAATGATGCAGTTCTAACCGTAGGTCCTGGGGGTGCACAGAGCGCACGGATGATAGATCACGATATCCACCCTTGGCTTATAATCCAGAGCCATAGTAACCTACGCACTGTCTTTCAAAGAATGAAAACTTTCAACGTGTGTCTGCTGCTTGATTTCGAAGGCTATTATCTATCCAATAGCCAGGCTCAGCTACCAACTAGTGTCACTGACGTTGATAGGGATGTTACATGCGTTGTTATATCTTGTAACGCTGAAATGACAATAAATTGAATCTTTTGTTAAAAAATAACGACGCAAGTTGAGATAGGTTGTGGAGCAGAATCGTACGTAGAGCATACCCGACCTCAATGCACTTGAATCGGACCAAGAAAATCATCAAGCCCAGTAGATCTCACCACCGTCCCAGCTGAGGGCGACTCACATGCTTCAAACACCCGTACACCATACCAGAGAAAGCGCTATATTTCGTGATCGTGCAACCACTTCGTACAATTCCACCTCCTGAGACTACCTCAACAGATCATTCAAGAAACGTACATCCACTGCTAAGACACGTTAGCTCCACTCGGAACACCATCTGTGTTGTGTTGCACTGCTTGTTGTTGAGGTCTTGCTGAAGACGACGGATCAGCGGAATTACTGCCACAGAATAACATCTAAACATACGCAGACGATGCTCTAAAGCAATTTTAACAATTGTGTCGACCAACTCCATCTTTTGGGAGTCACGAATGGATTGTGTTCCTGGCTGGAAGCGTCCAAACAATCGCTTGACTTTCGAAGTAGACGAGCGTCCTTGGAATGCGTGGACGGCTACGCTCACACCTTCCCTGACAGCAGCTGCATGAGGAGATGGCATGTACTGCTCCAGAGCGACGTAAAAGCAGGGATCAGAATTCTGCCTGTCCTGAAGATAGGGCCGCTGGTCGAAAATATAGAAAGAGTGCTCGAAGATAATGACAGCAGCTAGACGGTCAACAATAAGGGGATTCATCATGACGTAGCATCAAAATTCACCAGAAATGAGCTGAACAATACTCTCCAAGGGTGATGAGCCGGAGGACTGGCAGATTCGCAACATGAGAAATGTGTACAATCTGCCACCGATTGGACATACCACAGAGAGTACCTTGGACTGTATCATTACACAGTGACCGTTGCTAAGTGTTTCCTATTGATGGGTCAGCATGGATGGAGCTCGGAGGATCGACAGACTCACTGCCTGCGAACGATGTGCAACGACATGGATCAGCATGGCTCTTGCTCGGACGAGGATCGACGGACTCACATACTGCGAACGGTGGGCAACGACTTGGATCAGCATGGCTCTTGCTCGAACGAGGATCGACGGACTCACTCTCTGCGAACGGTGGGCAACGACTTGGATCAGCATGGCTCTTGCTCGAACGAGGATCGACGGACTCACCTCCTGCGAACGGTGGGCAACGACTTGGATCAGCATGGCTCTTGCTCGAACGAGGATCGACGGACTCACTTCCTGCGAAGGGTGGGCAACGACTTGGATCAGCATGGCTCTTGCTCGAACGAGGATCGACGGACTCACGATCTGCGAACGGTGGGCAACGACTTGGATCAGCATGGCTCTTGCTCGAACGAGGATCGACGGACTCACCCACTGCGAAGGGTGGGCAACGACTTGGATCAGCATGGCTCTTGCTCGAACGAGGATCGACGGACTCACATGCTGCGAACGGTGGGCAACGACATAGATCAGCATGGCTCTTGCTCGAACGAGGATCGACGGACTCACCAACTGCGAACGGTGGGCAACGACTTGGATCAGCATGGCTCTTGCTCGAACGAGGATCGACGGACTCACCCACTGCGAAGGGTGGGCAACGACTTGGATCAGCATGGCTCTTGCTCGAACGAGGATTAACAGACGTACTGCCTACAAGCAAACACTCAATATAAATGAGAGCAACCTTTGAACTTTCCAATAATCTTACATAAATATGAGGAAACCAGTTGCCCAAGGTCCCTACTATCTCCTTGTATCCTTCAGTTGTACTCTTTACAGAGTCAAGATGTTTTGGGAGCGTCCTGGACAATATCAGTTGTAACACCTGCGGCAGGCGAATGAGACCATGAGTAGTTACCTCTTGATTGCATATCTCATGCAGATCTCCAAGTGGGTCTGCTGAGTTGAGACGAATAGTTGCTCCAGCATTTCATCGTTCAAAGTTCCAGCCGTGCGTTCAATCAGCGCCCCACAATCTGCATTATCCTCGTTCATATCTGATGGATCAACAGTCATCATGTATCGCAACTCGACCATAAACCGACTCACTAGGAAGGCATACATGACCTTTTGGAGGCCATCGGACGCCCTGGAGAAACTTCAATTGGGGTCCATCTGGAAATGTTTCTTCGGCGCGTTTCGGGGCCAGTTCTCGAGCGTCTTTCAGAGATTTTCCTTCCTTCCTCAGTTGTGAGTATGCTATGTCGTAGAGGGCGTCGAACTTTGTGAACACTACGATCACTGGAACTGAGAAGTGTGATTCTGCGCGTCAGTCGAATGTCGACGAGGGTGGGATGCGAAAGCTTACTGGTTCCTGTGTCGCACTCGGAGAAGAATTTCTGTTCAGCTGCAGTGAACGACCTGTGTGCTTCGTCCATTGGGATGCAGTACCTATGTCGCAACCGTGAGATAGCCCATGTCGAGACTGATCAATTACAATTACCATATCGCATGAAGTCGATTTGTTATCTTGATTTCCTTGGAACGGCCAGCGATGAATTCCTTCACCTTCTCAAATTCGTCTTTGCCGCCTGACTCAAACCCGCGTGAATCATGAAAAACGAAGCCCGGATTGCTTCGAAACACCATTTCGTTCTCAATGTCGTGCAGTCCACGCTGAGAGCACGTCAGTTCCTGTCGTCGACTAAGAACACAACACACCTCTCTGGATGCCTCTATAACTGCAAGATCGATCTGATGTCAATGTGTCAGTACCATCTTCCTGTCTAGTAGCAATGTGATGGGCCTACCTTTACCCCGGCGCTGTTGTGGATTTCTGGGTCGTCCCGTGTGTTGCAAACTCGCTGTAGGATGGTAGTTTTTCCTGCATTCGCTCTTCCTACAACGAGGATTCGAAAGCGGCCGATTTTCTCTCTTATCTCTGAAGTATCCATGAGGGAAGGTGAACTTGAATGTGAGTCTGACTCAGGGAGAAGCGTTGGTGTAGCCTTAGAATCGATTGCAGTGTGTGAACCCGGCAAATGCCCAACTCGAAGCCTGCCTATCTAGAATAAGTGGGCAGTGGGCAATTGGTATCATAGCTGTGTACCTAGGCAGCTGCATGTACTAAGGGCATCAGCCATATTTGAAATTAGTGTATCACAATCACCACATATCTATCTCGTCATTTGACTAGGTCAAAATCGTAACAAACTCAACGACAGCTTTGCAGTCGTACTAGTACTATGTTCCCCTGTCACCCTTTCGAACTTCGAACCACTTCGGCCCAAAGCTCTCGAAAACATTGTACGTGCGTTACCTCACTTATAGCAGAGGTCAAGACCTCCAGCACCGCTCGGTAAGGTATTTTCTGCTCATGTATAAGGTCAAGTATCTTGTCATCGCGTCCATCGCGTGTCCATTACTGCCGCACACCACGCCCGGCCTGCAGTCGCGGTCTCTCGCTGCCTACCAGGCTACCACAGCTAACCTTTGGCTAACCTCCAACTCAACTTTATCAAACCTGGTGTTACCTCGAAGCTTCGAGGCCTCACGCTGGCTTCGACCCCCGCACCAGAGCGTGACCTCCCGAAGCCCTCCCCTGCCACTTCCTGCTTTCACCAGTCGCACTAGGAAAACGACGGAATGCTTATGTAGCCTTATTTCACTTAGTGGATAGCACTGGACGGAATGTGATTTATGGATACAAATAACACTCTCTAAGAAAGACAACACACAATTGGACAAGACACGTATCTATGCTTTTTAAAGCTCATCCAACTTCAACGAAGGATTTTGAAACGGACAGCGAGGATGATGGTGGCTGATAGGAGTGGTGTACCGGCGCAAGTTCGTATTTTGGAACACCTGCGATGATCATGCCAATAAGATACGAGCAGTACAATCCTCCATACCTGGGGGAGATGCGGTTGAGGCCGGAAACATCAATGTTGAATAACTTGGTGACAGTGTGTCGGCAGCAGCACGATGAGTTTGGCAAAGGCAGGCTTTCGCAAAGAACAATGGTGACCATATGAGAGCGTAGGCGCTAAGAGCTCACCCTCAATCACCGAAGAAAGACAAAGGCAGCGAAGACGATGGATGAGTAGAGTTTGGTGCGGTAGGGCGCACGCCGCCGCATTCACTGATGTTGAGAGCTAGATGACGGGTATTCTGGACAAGCAAAGAGATAGGTAATGAACAAACCGAGTTGTAGGTTGAGTTGATTGAGTATAAGGTGACGCCTTTCGTGCAGACGAATCATCGTTGGCGTTGGCGAGTGCTAGAAAGTTGACTTGATGTTTTGAACCGCCGCTGTACATGAGAAGCAGATTTGCACCTGACGGGGTTTTCCAGGTCTTGTCATTATGTTGAGCGCGGAAATTGAAAGTTCGCGTATACATACCGGATCTTCACAGTTTCCGCTACAGCTTTCTTATCGCACCGCTCTTGTGATCCGAGTCCCCATGTCTTCTCTACAGGTCCCCGTTCTAGAAGCTCAAATTGGAACTCTTCCTCTATTTCAAGCACTCCGTTATGGTGGACTGACAAAATACATGGAAGGCTTTGTTTTCAAATACCCCGTGCAAGTGCACGTTTGTTAGAGACGGGAACAGAGGAGTTGAAACGTGATGGAACGCTAGGAAACAGTAAAGTGAATCAACGACTATACCTTTGCTACGTTGGAGCTTACATTTTGTCAAAGTTCTTGTCACTGTCGTTCTTACTATATACGATATACTCGTCGATCGCGTGGGGTTCAGTTCAAGTCTACGGTGTATCCTGAATGGTGCGTGTCCTTTTTTGTCGTGTTTTAATTCTTCTTGACGTTTTCTTTCCTCCCTTTTTCCACCCAAAAAGGTTCACCCACCGCATCGCCCCCCTGGGTGCATTACATCTTCATCCAAACTGACTACTCTGACCTGTACGAGGCGTTCCTCCTCATTTGCGGACTCGAGCGGGCACGGTGTACATGAAGACCTTGCAAAGAAGATTGCGAGGGCCAGGGAGTAGGATTTGGGGTTTTGGAGGAGGGAGGATATGGTCGCTTATCTGTATACGTGAGTAAGTTACAGTGTGTGCGCACGAAGGGTTGCGTTGCGTTGAATATCGGATTCCATCTCGCGCGCGATGTTGATTTGTTTTATCCTTACTCTTCCAGGTCATTCGAGTATGCAAGAGCTATGGGCTCATGTCAGAATTCGCTTAATTTCGAATCGGAGTTATAGGATTTGGATTTGAACCTGCATGAGCCTCTTTTCAGATTCGGAACAACTCGGTTGATCGTTGGAGAGACTTCCATAACAAGCATGACTCGCACGTCTCGAATAACAGACACACCACACCACACACGCTCATACTTCGTACATGCCACGCGTGTTATCATACCTCTGACGTATCCCTGTACCGCATACACCACGCACGCTCCTTACTGCACCTCACGTTGTGGAAAGCTCCCGCCACGCGCCGCATGCACTCGGGCTGCGCGTTTATTCTATGTACGCATATCTTATACTTCTTTATGAGATGTGTTTCGTCGCTGCGCAGGGTCACTGCAAGTTCAAATGGTGAAGCGATGACCGACAGATTGGGTTATGCTAGCACGTTTCACACCTGCAGGTTCTACTAAAGTTTCTGCTATCTGATAGCAATAACAAATTCTGCCACATAGACCAGAATCGTGTCCATCAGTATGTGACAGCTGGCCGTCCTCCTATAGTGTTTTCATCCTGAGAGATATCATCCGAGACCACCCTCAGAATATTCCATATCACTTCGCACAGAAAATGCGTTTCTCCCTCCTCGCCGTTGTCGTTGCTTTAACAGTATCCATGTCTGTCAGTGCATGTTTGACCCAGGGTCAACGTTGCAATAACACTGCCGAGTGTTGCATTAACCTTGACTTGTTTTGTTGCGAAAATGGCGTGAGTCGGAGCAGGTCGCTGTGCAACCAGAATTCAACCACATGACTCACCTGCGCGCCTTAGAGAGGTTACCACTGCGAGTACGTAGAGTTAGTTGAAAATTAAGCCGGCAGCCCGAGCGGCACCTTGCGACAGTGAGTCGTGTTTCTACTTTCGCTTTTGGTATCATGATTGATGGTGCAATTCCTAGTTCGCCGATCAATACAGTTGTTTTTAGACAAATTTTCGTACTGCTCAAGTAACGTAGAAGTTTGAATTTCTCTGAAAATGATTGGCTGTGCCTAGTTTTGCTTGTGGTCCACTAACCTTGAGTTTGAAAGGTTGTCGAGAGTTCGAATGTTGCTGATGACTCGAATCTCGATACACCTAGTCACTTGTTGTGCAGCATTCATGTAGCTCGAGGACGGACAGTTACAGAGCGGTCGACCTGCGTTGCTGCAGCATCTACATCTGTAACATTCTCGAAGACTGTGTTGGACAAGATCAAACATTGAGCGGATAGCTATACTAGAGCAGGACGGTGTTCATTTGCATTCACCTTCGGTGAAGGGCGTAGCTATTTTGCCGCGGTCGTGACGCGGCGCTGACGAGCCTTTTAAAATCACTGGCCTTTCGATCAGCAACGAGAGTATACAATACTGATGTGACGCCACAGTCGATATGATTGAGCTGGCCACTACAAAGGCACGATGCATTGAGTTGTCCCATGATACCAGCCCTGCGTGTGTGTGGACGTGGGACCACGTCACGTCTGATTCTGTTAGGATAAAAGGAGACACTGTTAGAATGACTTATTATGACAGATCGAGAATATACCTCAGTCACACGGACAGTTGAAGTGCTGACGCACATGGTACTTCGGGTGCAGCATGTGGTAGCTGAGATGCGGCATAGGTAAGCGTGGACATTGACGTGGTACAGAGACGGTGAAGATCCTCAGGAAAACTTGTCGTGGTATGCGTGGTGCTTGACCCAGCCTAAACGAGGCTTGACATGGCATGGTTGGGGCTTAACATGGTAGTGCAGAGTATAGAGGGTGAATCGAACTTGACAAGACGAGGTCGAGGCTTGATGCGATGAGACAACACTTGACACTGCATCTGAAAACCAACATTAGATTAATGAATTAGAGGTGATACAACAATACAGGACTAACGCAAGATGCACACCAGTAGTACGGACACAGAGGACACTGAGCACTGTAAATTTGGTGAGAAGTGAATACGGCACTCTAGGGCCTGTACACTGGCAGACACTCATAGTATGTTGATCATGAACGAAGATACAAAGTGTTCGGAATTCGGTTCGAGTGACATATGATGTTGTTTGAACATGACCTCAGACTGGCACGGCAGATTCAGAAGTAAATGTGCCGTAAAGGCATGCATGTGAAGTTCGTGTGAATTCATGGTCTGGATCGAATCATCTTCATTTGAGCTACAGCCTGTTGAAGGTCTTGGAGCAGGTCCGGATTTCCGGATATGCACACTATAGCCATAACCCCGCGAACACTACCTCAATTCCAAGTTTCAGCTCATCATCGCCACTAGCGCAGAAGAACTCACACACGCATCAATAAACAAGCCATCCCTCTGCTGCCTTCAGAACCGAGTCCCATCCACCAGGCCCATTCTCCCACAACTGCACGCTCTCTACCTCGTCCTTGCCCAGCTTAAACTCGTTGTAGAGGTGTGGAAACATGCCCTCCCCTCCGCGCGGACCGCACACCTCTGCCTTTATATCTTCCCACTTGATATTCTCATCGACAGGGTCGTATGGGATGCGGAGTATGTAAACTTGGGCGTGGTCTTTGAAGAACCATTTGAGTGTGTTTGGGACCTGGTGTGCGGTGGAGAGGTGGATGAAGCCATCCGTCTGGTCAAGGTCGCTCACGGGAAGCCGTTCAGGAAGGGGATCAGGTGGGGCTGCTGATGTTGGAATGAGCTTGTAAATGTAGGTTGGTTTGGCATCTGATGGTGTGGCCATGGTGTTTGGAGAGATTAGGAAGTTGAGCTCGATTGTGGGCGAATTCAGATTGTAGTGACAATATTAATCCAAACAGCTTATCGATGGGATGGACCAAAATTATACACGAGCACATTGGAACTTGGGAGATAATCTGGTAGCCACATGGACAGTCACACAGTAAACGGTGTCAGTAGTCGTTACAACATATACGTAGCTCGTAAAAGGTATTATATCGTGCGACGTGAATCCTCGAATATCTTCAAGGCTCACACCATGTCTTTTCCCGTCTTTCCCCTTCTCTTATACATGATCTTCCATAAAGTAAGAATTGGCCACACTGCACGTCTCATGAATGGAGCATTGTGGTCATGGAATGAGCTATACGTCTGAAGCGTGACGACGATGTAAATTGTGAAGAGCGTGAGCGAAACAGTGACCTCGACGTAGTGGCCGAGCGTCTGTAGAGATCCTGAATTGAACTCTACGACGTTCATTCCGAACACAGACTGAGAGTATATGGGGTCAGATGGGTTTCGTACTAAAAGCCTCCGCGCTTACAGCTAAGAAGCTTGCCGGCAGGAAGACCATCGTGAGGTACGAGATCTAAAAGTTTGTTGTTGTCCGGTAAGTCACTTTAGTTTCAGAAAAGGAAAGTACCTGTTTCATAGCTGCCGAGTCCCTGACCGTCGCCTCTGTCAGTTTTCGCGTTTGTCTACTGTCGTCGATATTAACAGTCGCGAAAGCAAGGTCCATCACATTCTTCAGTCGGTTTCCCAGCATCGCACGTCGCCTTTCTAGACGATCTATTTCGCTGAGTAGATTCTCGGACTCCCTCTCCATAAGTTTCTTCGACTCTTTGCGCTCTTCATGGGAGAAGTTACTAGAGTCCATGGCCGGATTGTGGGTCTTCGCGATAAATTGTACTGATACCTCAAAGTTATGAAGCAGTGATTGATACTGCAAGAGATGCGCTTGGAGGATATGAAGCTCGCGCGTGAGCTCCAGATTATTCGTTTGGAGTACTCTTGACTCCTGAATGTTCTTTAGTAACACACCACTTATACTCTGCTCAAGGATGACACACCAGTTCACTAAGATGTTTGTACAGCAGCTCAAAGGACTCATCCCATGCATATAATGCATACCACAAAATCGCGAGGAAGAGGAAAGTCGGGTCCTTTGACTTGTCGAATAGTTTTTGCCAGTACACACTACCCCCCACGAGCTGCATGAGCGAGTGGAGGCGCTTCGCGGATGTCCGGCACCACGTAGACTCAGGATGGTAGGAGATGACGGTGTTTGTCTTTACGCCGCGGACCATGTGAATCGCGAGGAGGTCGATGAAAAGCATGTTGCCATCTAGGAAGGACGTTGGAATGTGAATATAAGGACTCTTATGCACATACCACTCATAGGGAAAGGAGCCTGGGTGTTGATCTGAGCATCTGCTGAATGTGAATAGGATGACTACGACAGATGATGGGTCGCTTACTCCTGGAGTGCAATGGTTGTGATAGATATTGAGAGGTGGATGCTGATTGAGAATTTTTGCGCAGCGTTCGTACAAATGGCAGGGTAATAGTGATGTCTATCGCACAACATCAGCATGGAACGCAAAATGGAAGATTTGAACTTGCGATCTCCTTTGTTATGGACAGGCGCTTCCTGGTATCGTGAGGGTATCCAATTTATGGAAGACGTGAAAAAAAATGGTTCGATGTTGTATCTGTGTATGAGGAGCCTCAGAGCAAGTAGATAAGTGAAAAAAACACCACATACCTAGTGCCCAGCATGCGCAAGACTGACGGGGTTAAGTCGTCTACAAATATCGATCGCACTCGGATATCGTCTGGACGCTACAAACCGTCTTACGCCCTGACTAGCATACGAGGGTGGTGAGACTCACTTCCCCCTGTAATATATCCCAAAACCCATCCTCATGTTCATGGTCAGGTCCCACTACTGTAATATTACCCTTTCCTCCGATATCTGAGCTTGCAAAACTCCCGTTGTTGCGCACATCCATCCAGTAAACGGTGCTAGTCTTATTCACCTGACACTTCTCGATCATCTTGCTACGGCCTACTTGGTCTGGTGTCCAATTCCCGAACTGGTTTTGGGGGTACCCCCGCCAGGATGAATCAATGGCAGTCGTAGAGGCCGTAGAATCTACTTCAAAGTCCATCCATGGCCATGGTCCCGATGGTGCCGCATGTCGATATCTGTGGAGAGACGGTATCAGTCGACAATACGAGGAAAGTAAGAGGACAGAATTTACGGTGGTGCGGGTACCGCCGGTGGCATGGCTATATTACCATCCTTGAGGTTTTGAAGAGCAACGTCCGAGTCGTCATGGCGCACTCTAAAGGCGGCGGCCAGTGTTCGAGTCATGATGTCCTAGCGGATGGAACTAGTTCATGCAGGAATTGTCGTGAGGAAGGGGGATGTTGAATATATATGGTAGACATGCATGGGCGCCCAGGGACGCTGCGTTCGTTCTCGACTTGGCCATTGTACGCTGACCAGGATAGACGCCTTGATGTAAATTTATATATGTTGCCTTTTTCGACCAATATTGAAACGAATTCTACGCCCACGTCAAATGGCACATATCATTGCTGAATCGTTTAGATCAGTGCCCGCATACTATACAAGAGGTTCGGCTCGATTAAACTCCGTGAGACCCTGGGATGCGCTGGCATGATGGCATGAGGCATGTAAGGGACGTCCGAGGTTATCCGAGGGCATGCGCTAGTAATAGGTCTAACCAAAAAAAAGGGTTCAAAATTGAAAGTGGTATTAGAGTAAAACTCGGTCTATTCTGATAATTCAAGTCAAGCAAACTGAGCTCGAGGGTAGATCTTGAAAGACTTTGGTTAGAACGAATGTTGCAAAGCCAGACTCGGAAAAGACCTCAATTTGATTGTGTAATTACACCCCGGCCGGCAACGCAAGCAAGTCACGGCATTGATTAGGTCGGGGTCAGCCAGTGCCACTATCATTCCATCATGATGTGTATCCACGGATGCATTTGCATCTGGGTAGACAACATGGGAATGTACTGTGACTCTCATCCAGTAGCAATTCAGACGACTAAAGCTTATAAGCGCTAAATCACAGTGACACTAGTGGGTCCTCTGCTGCCAACTTTTTACAGTCTGATCTATCTCAAGATTGAATCACTAGATATCCGAGTCTCCCTCAAGCCTGGGCCAGGTTTATGGCAGTCTTTGCCTGTATCATACATGTACGGCCTTGGATCCCAACAAGCGACATGCTCAAGTGAACGAAGGACTGCCAAGAGCGCCAAGATGGCCTGCTCGGATACCAGTTACCCGTTCGACCTCGTGTGATAAGGCCTCTAATTGGTCCCCGAGTCAGCCCAGTGGGAGTTGTTTCTACTACGTGATGGTGGGTCTGCAGTGAGAGAATGGGTGCGTTTGTCACAGTGATCTAAGAATAAATATTCAATGATATGATCGTAACACAGATGGCCCTCGCAGCTATAGGTCTCTTGACATGCTTTACGTGTCTTTGAACGCGCTCCAGTCCGACGTAGTGACTACGTGCACGCTTGACGGACATGCTCGAAGTTCCAAGAACTCACCGGCCCGCTGAGGACGGAGCTTTCGCGCTCCTCCTATGTGTCCAGAGATGATCACAGTATCACATCTTCCATGTTCTCTGGTAACGGGTGCGCACCGACGTGATCCGAGTGTATCTCCACTCATGCTTATACCGGACAGACTCGTAACCAATCTGGACTACGTTTTGAGATGTTATGACCACTCGTCATAAGCCAGGCTGGTCGCAAGCCCATCATAGGGAACCAATCCGGACCTTTGGAGGTCACGACGAAATCAATCAAATTAAACGCTGGAGTAGTGCTAGGTGTCTCGACTATGTTGTGGTATGTGTTGTGTCTACTCTCGCATGCTGTGCTCTCTACGTTCTTAAGCCTTCGGAATCGCCCTTGGGAAGCTCTCTGCTTCTCCTCGGCTCTGGGACCCCCTACTCCAACGCTCGTGAGGCAATCGGAAAGATGGTGCATACTGCAAAATACATTTTCCCCTTTAAATCCGCAATGCGAGTGAGGTTACCACGATACAAATCTAACTGCCTAAACTGAATCCAGTGGATGTCTCATCATTTCAATTTCTACACCACGTCGTGGAAGTTGAAGAAACGCTACGATCGCGACGGGGTCGCTGTACATGTCCATAACTACAACATATGGGCGTTAGAATCCTCTCTACCCTCTGTAAAGTTCGACAGACGCCGTGAGGCGCGAATTACCTTTACTACACTACGAGTCTGTCCGAGGCGAGCAACGCTGTTGGCAAAGACAAGTTACACGTGGGAGGGCGTCTGACGGGGCTTACCTGCCTCCTGTTCCATTGAATCCTGACGAGTACCACATTGGGCTGAGAATCTATCATGAGGGTATAATATAATAAGATGGGTAATGTATCCTAGTGGACCTGTGCTCCGTAGATAATAAATACATTGTATTGTAATTAGCTTGGTTTTGTATGAAGGAGACACGACGGGAGTGGTGCGGTCACAACGTCGAATATAGTAAGATATCATGCATGCAGATGCATACGCATCTCCAAACCATTCTATGCCCCATATCATCTGTGCGCCATCATCTCAAACAATATCCTGAAAATTCTTTAGTGAGTTCTGTCTCCATTTGCCATCGAACCGCTTGAAGATATAAAATATTGGCCACATAACACGCTGCACCAAAGTGCTATCATCGGAGATAAAAGGACTGTGCGAATGACAGGCCACCACGAGCCAAGAAGTACCGATTGTGAGCGCTAATGCCGTCGCAATGTAATGAACGAGCGACTCCTGTCCTTGCTGCCCGGTAATCTCATTGACATTCATTCCGAACACGGTCTAGCGAAGCACAATGATCATTAGCACTTCGATATCACTCTCGCATACTTGACACATACTGCAATGAAGGAAGCTGGAAGGAATATCATCGTGAGGTAGGAGATCTAAACGGACACTTCTTGAGAACTATAATGATGAATACAATGATGAAACACAAACCTGTTTCATCGCAGCTGAATCTCGGACGGTGACCTCCGTCAGTTCCCTCATATGCTTACTGTCCCCCATATTGACAATCGCAAACGCCAGTTCCATCACGTTCTTCAGCCTACTGATCTGCATCAATCGCCTGCTCTCCAATCTCGCAATCTCGGAGAGTAGATTCCCACACTCCCTTTCCATGAGATTCATGGAGTCCTCACGTTCGCTATCGGAGTGCATAGAGGGATTCGGGGTCTTCTGAAGGAACTCGACGGATTTCTGAAAGTCTTGGAGAAGCGACTGATGGTTTAGGAGGTGTGCTTGTATGATATGAAGTTCACGAGTCAGATCGATCTTATTAGTCAACAACACTTGAGATTCCTGAATGGCTTTGATAAGAAACCAAAAGAATAAGCCTTGGTTTTCTGCGACGCACCAGCCAATTGATATGAGTGTAGAGCGCATCAAATGCCTGGTCCCATGAATAGAGAGGATACCACAAGATAGCTAGCAACAAAAACGTGGGGTCCTTGGATTGGGTGAAGATTTTCTGCCAATATACACTCTGTCCCGCACGGTAGACAATGGAGTGTAGCCGCTTTGCAGGAGGACGACGGTAACTAGAGCGTGGATGATATGATATGATCGTGCTCGATTCCTCGGATCGTACCATATGTATCGCGAGGAGGTCGGGGAGAACAATGTTGCCACCTACGTAACTCAGCTATCGATCTAGACAAAGATGAGGATTTTGACCAGGACTTACCTCTGAGAGCGAGTGGTGCTTGAGTATCAATGACTTGAGGTTCGTCTTGAAGAAGTACTTAGCTGGGGTGATTGCAGAAAGAGCGAAAACGACTTACCCGTCGATATGTACTGTAAGGGTATAGATCTCAATGAACTCGGTGTTTCAGCTGTTGGTGTTGATGGTCGAGTGACTGGATTTTGCATCGTCCGCATGAATTGGAGCGTAATCGTGATATCTGCATTAGAATGGTAAAGACTCCTTAAACCATCAAACTGGAGAGCCAAATACGCACGATCACCCTTGCCCGACCGAACCTCCTCTTGGTAATGCGAGGGTATCCAATTTACGGATGAAGTAAAGAAGAATGGTTCAATATTATACCTATAATTCTTGTCAGTCAAACAAGTGACCGAGCGACGAAACCATTTACCTTGTTCCAAGCATCCGCAGCACAGTCGAGGAAATATTATCTACGAACAATGCACGAACACGGATGTTCGCAGGTCGCTATAGAAGAGGCGTCAATCATCGTACACACCTGGAAAAGAGCGCAACTCACAGGCGTCTGCAATAGCACCCAAAACTCATTTATACGTTCAGGTGCTATTGTACTTGTTTGGTCTTGTCCTTCCTCATCCAAAATCGTAAAAGCCCCGTTCGTTAGGACATCCAACCAGTGCGCCGAGCACTTTCCAAGCTCCGGAGAGTTGCTAAGCATCCTGCTGCGCTTCACTTGATCTGGCTTCCAATTTCCAAAGAGAGCCTCAGGGTATCCGCGCCATGACTCGCCCGCTGTGCCGGGTGAGGTTGGTGTATTGCCATAATTGAGCGTAATGTCTGAGTCAGTGTCAAAGTCCACCCACGGCCAGGGTCCCGATGGTGCTGCATGCCGGTGGCTAGAAATGATTGAGGTAGCTGGATATGTAGGCATGGAGGTCACTCACATAGGTGTAGGAATGGCAGGAGGCATGGTCCTATCGCTCGAGTTGCCGTGCAGACTCGGAGTACTGTGAAGACCAGTAGAAAACATCACGGAAGCTCTATGGTTATTAGTCCTCGACATCTTTACCCCGTATAAGATGTGCTGCAGGAGTAAGGGAATCACGAATTCATTCCATCTTAGCAGACTAGATATACTGGCGACCGGCAATCAACGTCAACCCAGGAAGGATCTTTCAGCTACAGACTCAGACCCACAGCCAGCATATGAAATCAGAACCTGCGCAACGCTGTGACTCGGACAGATTCCTGTCCAGATTTACGTTCGCATTCATAAGGCTGTACTGCAGATGACCTACCATAAACGAAAGCGGATGAACACAGCAGGAGGAATTAGTGCCACTAATACTGTCAACTAATGTTAGTGACATCACCTAGAACTCCAACTGAAAGGAAATACCATCTTCCTGTTACACCGTATATGGCCTAACTACACGCCCAGTAGACTAAGATTCGCCGGAAGGATCGGTATCGACAACGTACCTTATGTCAATGAATAAACAATAGATTGCGATTGTTCAGCTGCAGTGTCCTTAGAATGAAAGTTTGTGGCGCACTTCGGTGTAATAAATATACATAAAAGCACTGCCAAGTAGTGTTAGTCATGTCACCAAATTCGCCTAGAACTTCAACTAGAATGAATCACCATCTTCCTGCTACACCGTTGGACTGGCGCGGCTGGCCATGTGCCTGCCTCTGGCAGACGGAAGCTGGTGTGGCCTCGACCTAAACGCCCGAGGGCTCTACCCTTGCTGACTAAGCTACGCAAATGGTGGCAAACACCCACCTGTGCCACCGCTGGATCCGAGGAGGTGCCCCACTCCGGGCCACCCCACTCCACCGTATATGGCCTAACTACAGGCCCAGTAGACCAAGATTCGCCGGAAGGATCGATCATGGATAGTGTCGTCAACGTACCTTATGTCAATGGATAAATAATAGATTACGATTGTCCAGCAGTGTCCTTCGAATGTCTGTAGCGCACTTCGGAGTAATAAATATACATAAAGCGATGCGTCAACGTGCACGCCATCAGAAGACGACTACCGAGTAAGGAAAATAAATACCACAAGACATTTGAGTATTCTGATAGCTCATCTGGCTATTTATAATGCTGTTGCAAGTCCTTGTTCACAGCATTTGTGTGGCGTGCAGCGTGCCCACTTACCCCTGCCACGCGGAGCGCAGTCGTAGGACTTAGGGGCTTGCTGTACAATGTACAGTGTCTGGTCCTTCCGGAAAACACTTCTAGTATAAAACAGCCATCTCTGCACAGACTACTGAAAGTCCGACAACCGTCATCACCACTAACGGAAGCGCATTCCAGTATGCAAACGTCGCCTGGCTTACGATGATGCCCTTTTGTTTGAGGATGCCTCTCCATAGAAGCCCTGCGAGGCTTGCGCTGAAGGTGAACGATACAGCACCGATATTACTCGCGACAGCAAGGGCAATAGCAGCTGCGCGGAAGGTCTGATCGGATAACATAGGAGATGCCGCATTCACGACCTTGGTGAGAAGAATCGTTGCACCAATGTTTGTCCCGGAGACATTGCACAGGATGACTCCCAGAACACCGATCAACCAGATGGTGCGGTACATATCTCCGTGAGTGGCTCGTAGTAGCCATGTCGCAAAGACGTCTATCCAACCCTGGTGCGAAAGGGCTTCAATCAAGATAAACTGCGCGAAGGCAAATGGAACGAGGGCGAAAGGGAGCCTCGGGAGCGCGGTGAAAAAGGTAGGAAAGTGGGCATGCAGGCGTTTGTGTAGCGCAATGCCCTTGGAGCGCCACGAGGCGATAGAGGTCTTGGATAAAGGTTGAGGGGACCTGTTGATAAAGGTGCGATTGGAATCGGGATCAGAGTTCACCTTGTCTGCCGTGGGTAGTGGTGGGGCGGACTGGCGATGCCGACTCTTGTTATCTGATATTGTCTGCGCGTCTTGCAGCATGACATCGTCTAGCTGCATTGCATTTTCCTCCGGCCCTTTCTGCCCGCGCCCAAGCATCGGCAGCTGTCGAACAAAGCGGTAGTGATCCCAGGCAATATCGTAGATAAATTTGGCCACAGCAAAAGGCAAGCTGATCTTCCACACGTCAATTCCGAAGAAGCTGACAACCAAGCACAGGATGAGAGCCGAGGCAAGCATGAAACTACCGACACAGGCACCGATCGGATCCAGAAGGACCGAACGGGCGTCAAGGTCAGCAGCGTGGTTCAACTTGCGAGGGACGTATTTTTTACTGTGGTATTGACCGCCAAGAGCCAAGAAGCAGAAAACGCTGCATGCAATAAATGGGAGGATTGTGTACGCTGTGAAAGCAGCATTGTTCACATTGAAACCTTCGCAGATCACCACCTAAGATTATCGATTCAGGAATGTCAAATTTAAAATCGAGTTCAACGACACGAAATCAAGACCCACATTGGTGGGATTCCCGACAAACAACACCATGCTCGCTGTGTTCGCTGCCGCAAACTCGGACATGAGCCATGAGATATGATTGAGCTCGGCGACTTTTGTATAATAAATCAGGAACGCGGTTCCAGAGAGGATGACCGGGTCATTTCCCAGCAGGATGGACAGCAAGGTAAGCATGATGTAGAAGTAGGTATAGAGTTTCCAGCCGTTTGAGCCACCCTTGTTGCTAACCCAGAACGCTGCAGACTGAAGGATACCGGTGATGTCGAGGGTGATAGCCATGTAGGCAAGGGAGAAAAAGAGGATGAGAATGTTGTAGGGTTTAACACCGTCTGTACCAACGATGCCGTCGCGAATGACTGTTGGGTCGAGACATTGTGCCGCCCATAGAATCGCGATTGCGATGATTGGGGCGGTTGTTAAATTTATTGGGATACGGGGTATTCGTCGAGGGGTGGGTATAGAGACTGGGTATATCACGAACCCAATTGATATGATGAAAACCACCAAAGTGGCCACAGAATAACCAGTAATCATGAGATATGGTGGACGTTATAAGCGGGTCCGGTTGTGGGTTGACTGTGAGTCGGACGGAAAAGTATATAAGTTGAATTCGGACTCCATACGTTTCCACAATATACCGTAAAATTTTGTCTATATATAGATATTAGTTCTTATCGAAATTCCAGAAGTCAAGGAACCCGCTGCGATACGCCGGCCATGACTTATGTCTAACACCTTATTCGAAACTTGCCTGAGCATGGGGTCATAATTACCAACGTGTACTCACACAGTCGCACTGGTTTAACACTGCACTATCCTCCAAAGTAATTACCGTCGGCGCAGTCTAGTCTGCTACTCGCCGCATTCCCGTATCGCATGCATGCGAATAGACACAATCTTGGGAATAACCCTGAACCGCTCAACCTGGTTACCGAACCAACCTGCAGGTATGCTCGCTTGACATACGATAACACACCAAACGTGACTAACCGGCAACTTGCTTGCACTCACCTTATCATTTTGGGTTTACACAATAGGTAAAACCTGTCATCGTCACCATCGAGAAGTCGGCTAACATGTTCGCTGGGATCATTCCAGTCAATTACCTACTTAATATACTACGACTAATAAGGGCGTCTGTCGTCAGTGTGGTGCTAACTTCTTGCAGCTCGATTTCGAAGAACGTCTTTTCACCCTTATGACATCATCTTATTGTCAACTCGCAGCCGCAACTGGACTGAGAACTCCTTAATTTTCTTCTAGGTTTCGCCTCGAATGAAAAGCGTGGTTATTCATGCGTATGAATGACGCCATTGGATGATTAAAGTGTGGTCACATGAAAGACTGCCTTTGATACTGGACATCTTGTTGCCCTAGCTGACTAGGGCCAATGGGCTTAGTGGAGATCGACGTTTTGGAGTCAGAGAAGGTGACCGAGGTCAGATAGATTGGCAACTGGCACAAGCACCTGTGAATGTCTTCCTCCTAAGTATTTGTTTTGACAACTCTGACAAGTGGATGTTTGGCGACAAATTCCATTTTACCTCCATCAGAGTCCATCTTGTGAAGTAATGAATACGGTCATCCGCTCCAGGACATGCAGTGCTACAGCAGGTACGTCAGCCGGGCCAGTCATAAGTTAGCAGACTATAAATGATTTTACTAATTGGCTGACTACGCCACCAGGTCCGGGGAATTACATAAACGAATCATATGGTGGACGAAATAGTATACCCGGCGTGAGCTCGTACCTCAGTGTAACTGCTACTTATTGCCGTACAACAAGCAGGAGAATATCATGCCTAAGCCATCCAGTTATGTAAGTGATTCCATTGAACCGCTATCCGAGTCAGGTAGTAATTTGCTCCTAAAGTGAATCGCAATCCTTGTTTCGACTTGCGACGTTTCTTCAAGTAGGTGTTTCCGCCAATTGTTTTGAAACACACTCGGTCGTCCCTGCACGCTGCTTCTATTTATCCACGAGTATTTTCTAATCTCTTGATAAGTGCTGAACAGTATAAGTATCCGTATTCATGCGATCACTGCGCAAGCGTATACTGACGGCCCGGTGGTTCCTAGATAGTAGGTTACCATATGATACGGTACGTGTTTCTTGCAGAAGAAGATATCACTGCACGTTGACATTTCTGCCTTGCTGTAGATGGCCGATGCTATTCTTATCATTGAATGTGCTGTCAATGACCTGTCAGATGATGCAGTGTCATCCGACGTGGCTCCCCGCAAATCCAGACCGCTATTTTCTCACTCGACTAGCTTATTTTCGCAGGCGTCACAAACAGCAATACGAATTTTCGGTTGCGTATTTATCCTCTTGAATGGTGTTTGTTCTTGATTATGTACAACAGGTTGCGAATTGATGAATCGCCCACCCTGAGTGTGCCCTGCCATGGCCATGATGATCTCGAGAGGAGACTAAGTATTAGAGAAACTCAACTCGCGTATGTCGGTTATCGTGGTTACCTATGATCTGAATCATGTGAGTGCGAACTGTGTAGCGAACATTGTCGATATCTAACGAAGCATCCTTGTACTCCGGTATTATCTGGATGGTACAAACGGGACGATCTCGCCATGAGAGCAGTTTTGGCTTCGGTGCCTTGATTGCATCTAGTATCTTCAAGGCATGCAGTGGTCAAGCTGCATGGAGGCGAGAACTTGAAACAATATTCCTGCTATTGACCAAAACTGGACGATCTGTAAGTGGTTATTTTACATCGAGGGCAGTATTACCACCTTCATCGTGATTTGTATGATGTTCATACCCGCCTCGCAATATCAGATGGCTCACTCCGGAGGAAAGAGTGCTTACCATCTCAAAGATGGTCATGGTAAGGTTGAACAAAAAGTCGATCATGCAAGGACTGTGATATCATGATGCTGTGTTTGACTGAAAGGTGTAGTAGCGGTTTTGTGATAGTGCAGCACTCCACATGATCTACACCCGGCGCAACTGTGAGTTGCGGTCTGATGTTATCATTGCTACTTTGAGCTCTTCCCATGATGGGTGTTCTCGATGATAGCTCTTTCGAAGTGGGTGAACCAGTTTTATCGGAGAGCCGTATCTGATCAACAGATAGAAACTCTGATGAGTGGTGCTGATATTTTATTGCTTCGAATGCACTTACTGCTCTTGGATTCAGCACATCTATCTGTACAACATTTGAACACTGCTGCACGCTGTATTTCGCTGCAAGTGATCCTCTTGTACTCCAGGTGTACATGTTCCGGATCGCTAGTCTAGACTCTAGATGTACTAGCTGCAGTAACGCGATTACGACGGATGCATCATTTCATTCATCCCTGAGGCCTGAAGGGCGTCATCTTCTTCGGCCATGACTCGAACAGATATTACGGAACGCTCCACGTATGTATGACAGCAGCAGGCAGCAGGTGGTGGTGTATTACTAAGTACTTGGCGGGATTGTCAGTCACCGGCGACTTCAAGCTCCACTACCTGCAGGTGTGCCTAGCGTGCACCCCAAGTGCACCCAGACTTCAAGCTTTCAAGCTTCAAGTTGGTCGTGGACAGACTTGATGCTCTGCGCAAACTTTCACCAGACCGGCCAAAAGTTTCAGACTCGTCCTCGCCACTCCGCCGCCCCTCACCTAGTAAGGGTTCCCACCATTGACTTTTCGTCCTCGTTCATTATCGCTATAGGAGGCTCCGAGGACCGAGCCTCGGACATGAGTACGACTCGGGCCAAGCTCGGGTTCCACACCAGCTATAAATATGCGCCGCTAGACACTGCCGCCGCATCACAATTTCTTCAGAATGATTCTAATGAAACTATAGGTTAGGAGGGGTTAGTCCTCCACGTTATGCGACAAAAAAAATGCGCCACAGCCGCCGGTTAGTATAAATTGGGCTAGTGCGGCGAGTGAACCTTGCCGCGGCATCGCACGGCATCCGTGAAAATCGCGATATCGCGGACTCGCAGGGTCGGCATTGCCCGAGTGGTACTATCTATGGTTCTTACAGTTCCTCGAGCAACCTGGCTGTCAGAAGCATTTCGACTGAGATGACGTCAGTAGGTTTACTACACTGGGCCTCGTGCTGTACTGATTATGGGCTGCATAGTACGCCTTGAATGTTTTTTTTCTACGCAAAAGCACCACTCCGAGTCACAAGCTACAGTCGGCGAAGTCACATTCGAGTCCCCCGGGCCATTATCAAGAAACTCTTTTCCCTCTATCTGGTCTGCCTCCAGCAGACTAATGCATTGTTGTTCCAAATCATAATGCAGTGATTGCTCTACAACGTTCAGTGGCGCATCGCTCGCAAAGCCCCAGATCAACATCAACGTTCCATTGAACGCCCCCAATCATTTATTGTGTTATCCTGAGATTAGGTTTTCGGATGTATGTGTCATATACAGGTTCCGCTGGTCCTACCATTCCAGACTCGGAGCAGGGACACGCTCTACTTGATTGGAATGAATCTGTGACAGTTGAGTATACAACACGATACATTGCTATCTGGATATGTACTAAGGTATAGGCCTGGATATTAGTGTTCATTCAGAAACTTTGATAATGTCCCGATTCACGCTCCTTGGGACTCGAACTGGATTGGGCCATGTGCGAGGGGTGTTACGGGAAAGACATAGGTAAACGTTCCGATGTCTCTTTTATAATGGTTCACTGACTCGAGTCTTGCTCTGCAGCATACAGGAACATGACGGGGAATTTTCGCTCTCTATTAATTTTGTGTCTGACATTTGTGTCGTCTTGTGTCGCACTCAACACCGAGCTAGTCATTTCAAACGCCAAGATTGCCCCGGACGGTTTTGCACACGAGTATGTGCTTGATGCATGGCTCATAGGTGTCTAATCAATTTTGCAGCGCTATCGTGGTCAATGGTGATTACCCTGGACCAGTCCTCACAGCAGTGAAGGTAAGAAATTCGCTTTATGTGCCACGCTGTTCGTACCAACAAAATTATCTGTGTTCAGGGCGAGCGCTTTCAAATCAAGGTCAAGAATGTGTTGGTGGATGAGTCGATGAACAAGAGTACAACCGTTGTACGTCTCGTCTTCACTCTGGGATCGCTCTCTGACGTAGTTCCAGCACTGGCATGGAATCAAGCAACGCTCATCGAACGAGATGGACGGAACTGCTATGGTGACCCAATGTCCCATAGCGTCTGGGCATTCTTTCATGTATGACTTCACGCCAGCCAGCCAGAGCGGGACATTTTGGTGCGGAATGGCTTTGTGCTACAGAAATAATAATTCATGGTGTATCAGGTATCATTCACATTACACACTCCAGTACTGTTGGTGATTTCATTCTTCATCGGAGTAAACTGCCTATTTTGGTTATTCAGGTGAAGGTTTAAGAGGACCCGTGGTCATTTATGACCCGCTAGATCCCTACTTGGACATGTATGACGTTGATGACAGTGAGTATGAACGTTGACTATGCAGGGTAGTTTGTGTGTACTAACGATATGCAGCATCGACTATTCTCACTATCTTAGATTGGTAAGATAATCAGCAGCAGTTTTACTCGTTTACATAACTGAACCATCTCGTTCAAGGTATCACGTGAACGCCTACGATATCACCGGAACTGACAATCCCGATGCGATACTCATCAATGGCCGCGGCCGCTATGAAGGCGGTCCTCCGGTACCTCTTTCTGTTCTCAGTGTTGTGCAGGGAAAACGCTACCGTATTCGATTGATGAATATGGCATGCAAACCAAGCTTCGTGTTCTCTATCGACAGCCACACGTTTACTGTCATCGAAGCAGACAGTGAAAACACGTTACCTCTGGCCGTTGACTCGGTTCCAATCTTGGTTGGGCAACGGTACTCTATAATCCTGAATGCAAATCAGACGGTCGACAACTACTGGATTCGCACAAACCCCAATTATAACACGACCTTTGCAGGAGGTCTAAATTCCGCGATCCTTAGATATGAAGGAGCTCCACAGCGGGACCCCATACACAGAAATTGGACTCTAAGTAACCCTTTGTCTGAATCGAACTTGCGCGCTCTAGAAAGCCCTGCAGCCCCTGGTCTTCCAGAGGCCGGTGGCGTAGACGTTTCGTTGAACCTAGTCAGCGTGTGGGACGACAATATCGGGAGATTTCTCATCAATGGCTATAGCTATACCTCGCCGACCACTCCCATTCTATTGCAACTTTTAACAGGAGAGTTGACTGCCTCTCAGCTGCAGCCCTATGGGTCGGTTTACACCTTGAATTCCGGACCATGGTTATTCCACTGGTATGATCAACATAACTGTTACTGTGTATGGCTTGGTGACGTTCTTTTTTAGTCACATTGACTGGCACCTTGAGCTGTTAGTATTATTTTTCAGTCCGCAATCGAGTGAATTATCTGATCCAAATTTCTTAGGGGTATGGCTGTGGTGTTCGCACAAGATTCAGACACCGGTGATACTTCTTTGCACACACCAGGTAAATGCCTCACTGATATTCAATACCTTGACCTCATTGTCATTGCTGTAGGTGCATGGAAGCAGCTGTGTCCGATCTATGATGATTTGCCATCAATAATTCGGAACGGGAGCGAATCGTGAGCACTATCATGAAGGCGGTATGAAACACACGAAATTCCGAGTGATTCAGAAAGCATTTAGCAGATATCCTAACTTTTACATTCTACTAGTGCTGTCTGTTGCCAGCGTGTCGCGTACACTATGTTTTCGTATTCTTCTCCAACCTTTACACTAGCATTTTCTTCTTTATCGTTATCCTATAATGGATAGACCTTGGCAGTGACGAGTTCGTCTGTATGTATTTGTGGCATAAATAATGTCCCTTTGGCTTGCTCTTCTAAGAGTGAACACCTGAAAGCCGGCCAGTCAGCTATTTGGGTTCGTGAGGAGCAGGATTACGCGCGCTTGCACTATCAGAAAACATCGTAAGTAATCGATCGCTCACAATTCTGACACAGCGAGTTGAGGCAGTATCCGAAAAAAGCTGTAATGCGCTGTTCGGCGTCCGATGATTGAATGAAGGCTGCCTCGAGACCGGAATGCACAGCTGCACGGAAATTATCGAGCTACGACAGGAAGGAGGCACCACCTATGTGCACAGAGTCAGGAAGGAGCGGAATTTGTGGATACTTTGGTCCAGTGTTACTAGTGACCACAAATGCTCCCGACTCCACTCATCGATCATGGTACTGGGGAGTCCCAAGTACTATGTGCGTTGAGTGATCGGGCACGAGGTAACTGCGGCATACGGAAGATGATATACTTGCCTTTGATGCGTATATTGAAGGCACTCAGATACGCATTGCCTCCGAGTCTGTAGTCGGAAAAAGAGCAACTCGACGTGGAAGCGGCGTGTTTAGAATCGTAGAAATCCGAGATCAATATATCAGGCCACTAGAGATCTGCGATTCGTGTTTGGTAACGCGAATAGTGTGAACGTTAACCAAGCACGGTTCTCCTCGGTACAAAGCACCTTGACTCGGAATAGGTTAATGGCATGTAGTAATGATAATTTGTACAAACTAAGAGCAGATGCAAATAGGATGATTTTGACGGGTTCCGTGCAGGGAGTGGTCTTGAGTTTTATACATTGTGAAGCCGACTCGCCGAGTCTCGCTGGGTTACTAGCACCATCGAATGGTCAAGGAATGGTAGATTGCGAGAAGTCGGATTGGTCGCCTCTTGCCACTGGTCGGTGATTGAAAATGATTTAGTATCTCTGAAGGCTGCAGGTCCGACAACCTCAAAATACGACTGTTTATATTTACTACCTTGTTCGATGTGCAGCTGGCAGATTAGTCAAGAAGTCTAAAAGAGAATCACTCTCGTGAAGAAGAGACGCAGAGGATACCCAAGATTCCGACAAAAACAGGTCGGAGCGGAAGCAATAAGTCATAACCAAACACGCTCACCACAGGTCCCTCTCGACATCGTCGTCCACGACGACTAGCACCCTTTCCACGACTTCCAACACATTCGCAACATATCTATGAGTAGCCGACCGTCACGCAGCACTCCATCTTCGTCCTCTTCCTCTTCACCACATGGCTCAAAGTTATCCAAATTCTTAGCGAAGCAGAGCCGGGATAGGTCAAAATCCATGACAGATCCAATCGTAGCTGCTAGCACCGCGTCCATCGCCAGCTCAAGTTCATCCAACTGTACGTCTGTCAGTAGCCCGCCACTTTCACAGTACAGCTCGCGAAAGAGCGGGAGATTTGGTGGTGGGAACGCTAGCAACAATCTTAGAGACGACAAGCCAAATAGCCCGCAGCCTGACCCTGATAGTGAACAGGAGGACTCATTTGATGAAACACCTGTTATTATTGAGCCTGTTGATATTATACGCTCACGGAATCGTTCAGAACGCCCTCTCAGCACCATTGGTGACATACCTCCCTCCTCCATGTACGCTTCGACATCATCCACACGTATATCGGATCTCCCTACACGACTATCCGGATGGCTATCACATACTTTTACCAACTCATCAACAGACTTATCACTTCCCTCAATACTCTCGCAGTCCAATTTTACCTCCCAGGCATCCCCTAAGACCAAGAGCTCAGCCTTACTCACCGCCGCGAAGCACGGCAAAGGACATCTCGATCGCGCAATGCGCTTTTTGCTGGATAGTGACTCTATCCCTAATAAATCTCCAGAGCCTATATGGCTCCTTGGTGTACAACATTCAGGATATGAACCTCCACCTCATCCTACCCCCAGTCGCCGCCCTTCTATCGAGTCTCGCCGCTCTCCATCGTTCCGTTCTACCACATCATCCTCAGCCACAGTTTTACCTGACCCCTCTCTGTCACTTTCATCGTCCTCTTCCAAAAACCCTGCCAACAATTGGCCGCCCGTTTTCTACGCTGATTTTACGTCACGAATATGGCTAACATACCGTAATCAGTTCGCTCCCATACGCGACTCCACACTATCGGCTCTAGAGTCGGACATAGCTTGCTGCGAGCCACAGCCTGTATCTTCGAGTCCGCGCCCTAAGAAGTGGCATTGGCCAGGCGGGGGTGAGAAGGGCTGGACGAGTGATGCGGGGTGGGGTTGTATGCTCCGGACAGGTCAATCACTATTAGCAAACACTCTCTTGCATTTGCACTTAGGTCGAGGTGATCTTTCCCCTGATAGCTCAAGAAACTCGTCTTGATTGCTCATTATTCAGAATGGCGCCGTCCTCCAAACCCAGTACACACAAACGATTACGCCACATATGTCCAGATCATTACGTGGTTCCTTGACTCGCCTCTCCCTCAAGCACCCTTCAGTGTACACCGCATGGCCCTTGCTGGAAAGGAGTTGGGCAAAGATGTTGGACAATGGTTCGGGCCCAGCACTGCTGCAGGCGCCATAAAGTATTCATTTCCCTCATATTCTACTTCTAATCAATCCATTAATCTGTGCACGCAGAACCCTTGTACATGCCTTCCCAGAAGCTGGCCTTGGTGTCTCCGTTGCAACTGATGGTGTTATTTATCAGTCTGACGTATACGCCGCATCAAACGTGCATATTGGATCACCACGACGACATATGAAGGCCACCTGGGGCGAACGCGCAGTCCTTGTACTTATCGGTATCCGTCTGGGTATTGACGGTGTTAATCCTATCTACTATGAGACTATCAAGGTCAGAGCGCTCGCTTGAGATTTCAGCAAACATCTGACGTTTATCTAAGGCGCTCTTTACCTTTCCGCAAAGCGTGGGCATCGCCGGCGGGCGCCCCTCTTCCTCGTACTATTTTATGGGTTCACAAGCTGACAATCTCTTCTATCTCGATCCACATCACGCTCGAACCGCCGTACCTCTCCGCCCAGCACCCCCGCATGACTTCAAACGCGAGATGACCCCAGATTCGGGCCGCCAGCGCACCTCCCACCACCGCGCGCCTACTTCACCTTCAAGCGTGCGCACGGGGAGCTCAACATTCTCATATCACGCACCACTTTCGCCTTCACCGCTGCAGCATCAACTTAGTGCGAGCTCGAATACCTCAGGTTCATCCAACTCTCACCCGCCACGCTGGCCGAACCCGAGCTTGCCAACACCGCTTGGAGGGTTAGAGCTCGACCCACGAGAACCAAGTACGGAGAACACCAGCGAACTGGATCCAGTCGCAGAGCACTACGTGACACAGTATTCCGCTTCTGAGCTGCGGACGTTCCATTGCGACCGTGTGCGGAAGATTCCCCTCAGTGGACTCGACCCAAGTATGTTGCTTGGGTTCCTTTGCAAGGACGAGACGGACTGGATTGATCTCAGGAAACGTGTGAATGAGGTGGGCATCTTTTTGATACCGACGAGTGTTTTCAGTGTTGATTTTTCCCCTCATGGGGTGCGTTGGCAGTTGATGCACAAGCACAAACCAATATTCACGATCCAGGACGAGCCACCCTCGTGGCCATCTGATTCGGACGAATTCATGGGGCTCGAATCCATCTCGGAGCCAGATATCGATATGGAATTTGACGGAGATGGTGTGGAACGCGACGATCAAGAACAGCCCGAGAACGAAGACCAGTTCTTTGATACTCGCTCTGCATCTCAGTCATCTGTTCCAAAGGGTCATAGCTCAGAAATTGACACGGAGGAGGATCCAATAGGGCCAATCACACCTGGCCCCAATTCCATGCTTGAGGCAGACACACCAGACAAGGCAAGGGAGCCTATGGATGATTTTGAGGAGATTAGTGCTGAGGACGAGGATGAGGACGAGGACTGGGTAGATCCGTCGCTACCCACGCCTCTGGCGCTGTCCGTACAGCGCCCTTTTGCGCCCCCTCTTGGGAAAGCGATATCGGCGAGCTCCACAAGCAGCAGTGGAAGTGCGGGGAAGGGGAGTAGCAAGAAGACGACTGGGAGGAGGCAGAAGACGTTGGTGCCGCTAATACAGGCACCGGTGAAGGCCGATGTACATTTTCCGTTTCCGCGGTCGCTGGAGGAGAGCGTGCATGATGGGGGGCATGGGTCCGAAGCAGAGCCATATGAGAGGCGGATGAACAATGCACGTGCGAGAGACGGGGGACGCACCGAGAGCGGGGGCGTCAAAGCCGTTTTGACGGAGGATATGAGATAGCCCAGGGTCCGTTGGTTGTTGGGTATGTTTTTTATTAGTGCCTGGGCATTTCATTTCGACTTGCGGCTGCCTGTGCTGTGGTGGACCCCTTCGGGCCTGTAACTATGTGTGTACTTTTGCCTGGTTGTTCGTAGAGATACCCGTCACGTTAGGCATTGGCTCGATGTGTTATCTATTTGCCTCTTCTGTCTTAGGCTTTCCAATATTCATTGACATCAACAACTTTTCATTTAACACCTTGACATTCACTTGGATGGTGTTCGATAATCCGACTGTGAAACCAAAAACAAGTGAAGTTCACCGGCTGATGAATGGGTCATGATAACAAGCTTACCAGGTGCCCGTCACTACCATCCGCACCGTGTGAACGGGTGCACGAAACTGGTTGATCATGATCGGAAATTTTGTCCATTTCACCGTCTCTTCGAAAGGTCTTTCGGGTGACAATTTAGATTACCGCTTTAACTGTTGAAAGGGTGATGGTAACCTCCTGGTTTCATCGTACTATGTTTTCCACTAACATTGTGAGTCGGGGACTCTTTGTAACAAATGAAATGTGTCAAGAAAAACACAATATTCAGAGAACATACTAGTACGTGCACAGAACAACAAAACAAGTGAGTCGAGTAGTGTTAGGAATGGAATACTGTACAAGTGACAAACCCGCGAGTAACTCTGATTTACAAAAATGTGGAGGTGTCACTAGTAAGGTTCATTGATTATTGGCGTTTCTTTCGCAAAGTAAGTATCGGAACGCGCAGGAGGGATGTTCTGGTTGCACATCACAACATTTATTCCCTACGTCACGACCGCTAACATGGGCTAAAATGAGTGCAGAATTTCACCGGTAAACAACTTAACAGCAACGGGGTCTCCTCCCACGTGAAACTCATTCCTGTTGCACGAACTTCCAGTACTGCTTCTTGTCAGTCTCAGCAGGAGCTGGAACAATTCTGATCTGGAGTGGGATTGACCACAAAGCCCAAAAATATCACCGATCAAGACAAACCTGGGTTTGGTTCGAGTCGCTATCAAGGTACCACACATAGTTGGTGTTTTGCTTGCGGATGCTATAGACGAAGAGGACATATAATCTTTCAATACCTGCAGTCGATGCTAGATACGAAAGACAATGTACTACTCACATAAACTCGCCCTGGGACAATTGGGATTCGATCAATTGGTATACCACGGGCGAGCCGTTACCTTCGAGTTTCATTCCCTGTCATTTCACGTGGTGAACAATCCGAATGCGTCAACGCCAAACAGACCGACCAGGGTATTAGCCGAAGCATAAGTCTTGCTCTTTAGATTGATGATCGTTACGAGATCCTCTGCTCCTCCCGTGTATGAGACTATGAACTATGGTGATGGTGAGTGCAGGATGCGCCTTACTGAGGTGCACGTACAGTGCGGTGATCACTCCCTGTAGAGGAGCCATCATCCGTGTGCCCTATGATGGGAGTGCCAACCGCAGAGACACCGTGTTCCAAGTCCGCGTGCTGGGTGTTGTAAAAGACATTCTGGATCTTGTAACCATCGCCATCCTTCGGTAAATTGTCACTCATGGTCTGCTGGTGAGTTACTGAGTAGTTGAGTGAGAGGGAATTGTTGATAGAATATAGCAAGAGATGCTATGACCTTCAGAGCTGCTGGGAGTTCAGCGTACTGCCGTGAGTAACCTTCAGAGGGGCAAACGGCCGCTCTGGGACACTGGGACACCAGTAGGCCTATTGGCACCAGGCTCACTTGAAGCTAGACTCACAAGTATGGAAAGCTGGACACTCGCGTTCAAACATCAAGCAAAAATTACTAAATACGGCAGTGCCTTCTGCAGGACCGCTATTACTATAGCGACTGCAATAATAAAATTATGTGCCATGTATATCGACCAAGTGTCTACATTGTTTTTGCCTACAGGAAGTCACCCAATAACGAAAATGAAAACTGTTCAAATCTACTTCTTCCAAAACAAGTGAGCACATACAGTTACAATATCTCTATTGTCTTAACATTTATCATACCGTGCACATCTTTAACTTGTGCAATGATATTATGATCTGATGCGATTCTCTTGTATTCTTTGCCATGTCGTAGCACTAGCAGGAATGCGCTGAACGGCTGCCCAAGGCGAACGATCAATCGCATTGCACGTTCGCTGAATTCTGAATCAACCGGGCCCTGTCCTCCAGGCGACTCAAGAGGATCAAAATCATCCACACACTCTGTATCGTCTGCATAGTCAGGCAGCTCGAGTAGACGACGATCCCAGGGACGGACGAGTAAGAATGACTGTCGAGCGGGTCTTCCTTGTGAGAACTGAGGTAACTTGCGCTTCGTGGTGATCTCCAGGTCACGAAGCCCGTCTGCCTTGACTTCATACGTGAAGCAGGTCTCCGTGCCTTCAGTAGGTCTCCGTATGACTTCTATGACAGGAAATACTATGCAAGGCAGATGTAGTCTGCAGTTTGCAAAACGAGGAGGGTCCCGGTCGTCAAGCAGGCTATAAAGGTCCAGAGCCAAATTTACAGCCATGATATGTCGGAGCGAGGAAATTGACATCTGAATGTCACCTTCGGACAAAGATGGCACGGTGTATGGTGGAGCTTTGTATGAAGTAACGTCGGCCGGGATACAGCTGTTGAATTCGGATGATTGACCCACCCAGTCCAGGGCACTGATGTCACCCGACTGAGATACGACCTCCTGCAAGAGCCTCCCGAGCGCATTCTGCTTCTTCTCGCCATAAATAACAGGCAGGTTGATGCCGAAGATACCAAACAATGAGTATGCGATATCTTCCGGCAGCGTGGTGACACGGGCCGAGACCCATTGAAGTTTCTCCCGGGCGTCTCTCATCCCCGGACGGAAGGCGCTAAGGGCCTGTGCATCTATGCCCGTTGCATCTCCCATCTCCTGCATGATTGCAAGGGAATCCTTGTGGTTTGGAGAGCGATCATCGAGATATGGAGACCAGTTCTTCTGATAAAATAGGACAAATTTTGGGGCGAGGAATTCTTGGACTGTCCATCCTCGCATGTTCCAAGCGCTACTTGCGAGTGCGCCAGGCTGCGATGAAGGTGGAACATCCGACAGGTAGATGATGGTAAGCGCTGAGTGGCGATACCAGATAAACATGGAGTTAACCGATTGTTGGACCTCGACGTTGTTGGTCTGGTCGATGCAACACGTATCAATCCATGCCCAGCAATACCCTTTATCACGAGCAGTTTTACAGAATGACTGCAATTTCGCGAAGCCGCTAACTGGGTCCAACTCGTATATCACCTTGCCCTGGATGTCATGCAGCAACGGCTCCGTCCCTTCCCACCTGTGCGATAGCATGACATAACGGAAGTACATCGCCACCGCATGTTGGATGCGCTCCGTTCGAAGGTCCTTCACTGTGGATGACAAAAGTTCCTTATACTCTGTGCTCGTTTTGAAGGCATTGATCTGAACCTCGCGATTACATAAGCGTCCAGTGGAGGTATTGATTAGACGATGTGGGGCGTCGTCGAGTTGAGCCTTGATGGCCTTTTGAATAGCTTCTTCTGCTTCGGATAGACCAACATACTGTTGGTGCAAGTCTGGACAAAGTCAACAAAGTTTAAACTTGAAGACGTGCTGTTTGGAACGTACTTTTTGTTTCCATGTCGGGAGCATTTTCCAACTTGGAGAGCATAACTTTGAAGGCTTCGATGGCTTCATCGTATCGACGGGCGCCATGAAGTGCTGTATGTTTCAACTGATATCCAATGTAAGATGAGGGGTTGAGTTTGATGACCTGTGTATCACCAGAATGAGCATCGAATACGAAACGGTACTCGTCACCGCACCATTTCCGCATCAAGGAGTGCGTCGTCCCATAGCATTTTTCCCGACCTCGCCTGACTGCGGTTCGCAAAGATGGTATCGGTTGTCAAATAGACGTCGATTGCCGCAGAGTAAAGCTCGATAGCCCTGTCATAATTACCTGCAGCGAGGGCATCATCTCCGCCCGCAGCGAGATCAGTCACTCCGGCGGAAGCATGGAGCAAACGACAATCTTCCTTGAAAGCTAAGTGAAATGGGGTTGAAAATTATACCTGGTTGACAGCATGAACACTTGCCTGTGGACCAATCAAGGCAGTATGCTTTCGTGGCCTCATCAGCCATATCCATCATGTATCGGTATGCTTTAATGGCTTCTGAAAGTCTACCTGCCCGAAGGAGCGCGTGACACCCATTCTGGTGTGCAGTTCGCCACAAGGACTTGAGGTCCCACCCGAATAACTAGAAAAACAGTCAGACGTGAAAATTTTTATTTCCAGTTGCATTGTAATCAACTTACCACCACAAAGATATCATACTTAGAATGGATGGCCGCCATAGATGAGAAATTGATAGTGTTGATAGCAGCAGTGAAGTGGCCAGCAGCTTCATTGTGACGTGCATCGGCTAATGCATTCATTCCCACTTGGACGTGTAGATAAGCCTGACGTGCAAGGTTCGCAAAATCATTATCGACGCATGAATATGCAGTTAACTGTCAGGAGCGCTCACTTCCACAATACTACAAGCAAGAGAATTCGGATTGGGACGAGTGGTAGCTAGGTCTTGGACACGCAGGATTGCCTCGTCATGTTGATTTGCATTAAAAAGGGCAATGGCCTGATGGCCGTCATTTAAGTAGCGAATATATGAGATGCAATCGACATACCTTAATCAAGAGTAGAAGACGAGTTTTATTCAAGTCTACGTCTACGTACATGAACGCAAGGTCAAATGCTTTCATTGCATCCTGGAACTGTTGTTTTCCACAGTGGGCGATGCCCTTGGAGATACAGCCCGCCAAGGATGGCTGAATGCTAATACTCTGTATTGTCATGGCGGTTAGCCTTTTTAAAAAGTCATGACGGGACAGTGTATCTCACCTTGAGTGCATCATTAAGTGCGCGGTCCCAGTCGGCTTTTCTCGCCATAACAAACGAGCGATTCGCGTAAGAGTTGTAGTCGTTGCTATCAGCGCCAATATCTTGTGTTAACAACTTGTCAGCAGTAATCAAGTCCCCGATGATGCATGCATCGCGGGCTGCCGTGTTGATGGTGAGGATCTGCTTCACGCATGTCAAATTACGTCGTAAAAGACAAGGCTGGAAACAAGCCTTGCATGCCTGGTCCTCGAGAATGTCCTCCGGTAAAGGTACTGTCCACTTTGACATCATTTTATCTTTTCCTCCACTCAGGATGTGCTTGCCGTCCGTGGAGAAGGTGATACAAAACACCTGATTGGTGTGCTGGAATGTGGCGATGGTTTTTCGATCCCAAAGCCGCCAAAGGCGAACCTGATGGTTGTCAGATGCGGAAGCGAGAAAGGTGCCGGTAGGGTTGAAGTTGAGAGCCCCAGGATAGCCCTCCCGGAGTTCACCAACCTGCATCCAGGTGGATGAATCCCATATCCGTATGACGGGATCACGTCTATCGCCAGCTGAGACAAGCTGTTTGCCATCGGGCGTCCACGCGAGTGAAATATTATTGGTTTCCGACGCAGAGTAACCCTGTAACTTTGCGATACATTGGCATTCCTTCTCGGCCAGTGGGTTCCATATTTGGATATCTGACGCGGTTGCGATGGCAAGATATTCACCAGACGGTGAATACCGAACGCAGAAGATGTCGGCGCCACAATTGATTGGATTTCCTTGCACCTGCCATGTTTTTGTGTTCCAAAGCTTCGATGTGGTGTCCCATGAGCCGCTCGCTAGTAATGTGCTATCTGGGGAAAAGTCGAGCGAGTAGATCTCTCTGGAGTGGACTTGGATGGGTTTGGTGAGAGATTCGCCGTCTCTATTCCAGGCGATGAGTTCTCCGCGCACATCACCGCTTGCTATGAATTGCCCATCTCTTGATACTGCAACTCTGTGTACTGCGTTGCGATGGCCCTCCATTATCTTCAATACAGCACCGCTTTCTAAATCCCACAGACGAAGCGTCTTGTCCCATGAGGCCGTCACCATGCAGGATCCATCGGGGAAGACTGCTGTTGCATGGATACTGTTTTCGTGACCTTCAAATGTTCGACTAGCCGTGGTTATTTGAATGACAGGCTGTTCTGCTTCCGTCATTCTGCTTGATGTGGATGGTGTTGAGTCCAACTCGGTGGAGAGCTTGTGGGTGTCTTGATCTGAGTTTCAGAAGTGGGTGTACTGGGCCTTTTTGGGCTTCTTCACAGCCTCGACCTGCTTCCTGTATCATTAGACGCCCAGGACATGAGGCCTGAAACCTATACCTATCATGTAACTATAAATCCCGGGCTAGCCATGCTTTCTAGTCCACTATGTCCATCCCTCCAATCAATTTCACCGCCTAATCCACCCTGGACGTATTACGATCAGAGAATTGATGCTACTCTTACTGGAAAAGAGTGGGTCGCAGGCGAACCTGCAGGGTGGAAAGTGTATGATACAGCAAAGACAGACGAGACGTACGACTTGTTGTTCAACAGCGATATATACAAGCTTTTAATTCCAGGCATCGGATCACATTCATATCCACGATCAGCGAGGAGGACAGGGCGCACCGAGAGCGGGGACGTCAAAGCTGTTTTGACAGAGGATATGAGATAGCCCAGGATTCGTTGGTTGTAGAGTGGTGTTGGGTATGTTTTTTATTAGTGCCGGTGCATTTCATTTCGACTTGCGGCTGCCTGTGCTGTGGTGGACCACGAAGGTCGGGGGTTGTTCGTAGAGATACCCGTCACATTGGCATTGGCTCAATGTGTTAACCATCTCCCTCTCCCGGCCCTGTCTTGGGCTTTCCACTATGATAATTTATTCGAGCTATGTTCATTCGTAACAAATGAAACCTGTCAAGAAAGAATTCAATATTCAGGAAGATAGATGCACAGAACAAGAAAACGAGCGAGTTGAGTGCATGAGATCTCACTTCGTGTTTTTCCCCATTGGTGGCACCAGAAACGTTAACATTATGATACTGTACCCGAGTAACTATTACTTTACAAATATGTGGTGTCTGTTCACGCTAATTTACATTGGTGTACTCGTGGTGGCAATCAATTAATCAAACATTGTAGGTGTTGTACAATTGCACCACAATCACAGACACCATACGGTTGGAGACTCACGTCATTGGCTTCACAAAGAATCTAATCCGTAGTACAAAGGTTGGTTGATCATTGCATTTAGTATCAGGGGCCAGGACCGCCATCCTTTATCGCTTAGCATGAATGAAGTAAGTGTCTTTCTTGCTAAACTGACGGTCTCTTCCGAAGCTATATATGATGAAGTTGATATGCAAGCTGGCCAGTCTGTCTGTAACACTTTGGAAACGGGAAGATGAGTGCACTGTACATGTACCTTACAAAGAAGGCTTGGAACTGATGCAGTTGTCATCCTTCCACCGTATCTCCTGAGTAAGTACGGCTAGAAGGATGAGCTCCGTGGAATATATAGTATATCCTTCGTCAACCAATGGTCGCCAGATCGATTGGTCTGCTGGGCAAGAGATAACGTGACGGTTTCTGTTCGCCTTGAGTATTCGAGTCGTCGGCTTGGACGTCTGAACCTGATTATGCGCGCAGCGTCATGATGCGTTGTACTCGATGCAAGTGTCAATACAACTTACCTGGCCACCGGCAGAGGCTATGACAGCTTTGAGCAACTTCAAGTCAATCTCGACTTTAGGGGTCACATAAAATGTCATCCCTTTCAGCAAGCCCTCCCCTCCGTCTTCACGTTTAGCGCGCTCGAGAGAAGCGGAGAGCTTAAAATTCCATTTCCGTTCCGATTCGGGATCAGATATCAAAAAGTCCGTTTCCGCTGTAGTGGTCAATCAGAAAGCACTGATTTCCAGGATTAGTTACTCACGCAAAAGTTTGCCAGTTCGCACGCTCGAATTGACCCATCCTTCTGTTAACACGAACGGGGAGCTTGCGATAGCGCACAAGAACTTCTCCGTACGGACTATTCCCTTTGCGACCAGGTGCGTGCAGTCGTTGGGTTTCGTTGTCATCTTTGCCCCCAATTTATTCAACCTCTATTGCATGTTGATCGATTAGTTGATACTTCATTGTGGGGAACTTTCTTACCTTGATAGTATCATCGGTCAGCTGGATACCTGTCGTCATCACCCTCACTGCTCCAGATTCCCGAGAGGGTCCAGAACTATAGTATGATCCGGTGAGTCAAGATAATGGGCGGAAACAAATTACGCACAGGTGATTGGTGGCAATATCGGAGGCACGCGATCCCTTTTTATTCTGAGTCGTCTTGCCTCCCTTTTTCTTGGACGGCTCGTCTTCGTCAACACTCATCTCGTCTCCCGCTCTTCGCTTCGTACCCTTGCCCTCAGTCGTACCGGTCTTCGACTTCGACTTCGTTTGAGGACTAGATGAAGAAATGATGTCCTCAACCTCTGCTTCATTGTCCGTGTCCTCTGCGCGAGCCTTTTCCACTTTACGCTTCTTCATGTCTCGTTCCTCCTCGACTTCCTCTTTGTCACGCAGGGAAATGAAAGAGTCATTGAGACCGGAGCTATGCCTTCGCTTGGCGTTCTTGCGCTCCTTCTCGAAACTAACGACGTCGGGCATAATTTCATCTCTCAGTTTGCTCGTCGCTTTGTTGGCAGCACTGCGCTTTGGTAATCCGCGTGAGGAATACGTATCCAGAACCACAGAAACTTCATCCTCGTGTTCTGATTCTGACTGATTCCGCGCTTTGGACTTCGACTTGTTCTTCACAGGAGGTGTTGAGGTTGAAGGTTTCGATAGAGAAGGGCGTCCACGCTTGGATCCACTTGTTGATGCCTCGGCCGCAGATGCATGAATGGAATTCGTTCTAGTAAGTTCGGACCTTCCTTCCTTGTTCGTGGAGGTGTCCTTGCGCGAGCTTGGAGACAAGTAATCTTTCGGTAGAGATGGAACGAGCACGGACACTGTACGTTTCGGCGTCCTGAGAATTTTTACAGGAGGCGAGGGTGAGCGGGTAGTAGACAGACTTGGAGATCGAGCGCGAGCGTTCTGTTTCTCCTTGGCGGCTTTTGAGGACGTAGTCGGCGGCTCTTTCTCCGGCTCTTTGGTTCTTACTTTGGCACTGGATGCAGCAGACTGATGCTTCACAGGCCGCACAAAAATTTCATCGTCATCAGACAAGGATGAGGCGCGTTGAGGAGTTTCCTTCGGCTTAGGCTTTGGTTTCATTCCTGTTTGTACTGGCGTCGAGGACCCGGGGATTACCCTGCTTGCACGGGTTGACGCAGACTCGGAGTTAGAACGCTCGCGAGAAGGGGGTAGATGACCAGCTTTGTGAGGTTTGGTCTTCTCCTTTGATGTGGACAGTTTGTTAGACTTCCCAACGGCTTTGGTCTCAGCCCTAGGGAGAGCTGCGTCATTCGCAGAGCTCTCCTCGTCGATCTCCCTGGAATTCTTTACACCATCTGTCACTCCCCCTTCGTACACCTCCACAACATCATCAGATGCAGTGTTTTCTCGTGTGGTCCCCGAACGTCTGCGTGATCGCGGTTTCGTAGGTCTTGAGTTACCATCATCAATATTTGTCATACCATCTTCTTCGAGAGTCACTTGCTGAGATGACGATTTCTTATTCTCCGAGGATTTCGGCTTTGGCTTGGACTTCTGCTGTCTCAGCGCCTTTGAAGGGGAAACATGTTCATCGTCGACATCTATGACTACGCTAGCCGCTATGTCGCCAGCACCGTCAAAGCTGAGGTCCCCTTTATCGTTTCTAACGTCTCTCGCGCTCATATCTGTAGCTTGGGAAGCAGTGAGAGCATTACGCTTTGGCTTTGACGCTACAGGCTGGGGTGTTTTCGAAGGCGAGCTACCCCCATCGTCGATGTCCTTTGGCTTCGACTTGCTGGATGTGGTCATAGCTTTGGCATTTGATCTGGGAGTCTCTCTGGATGAGGTGATGGGCCCCACTTCATCGACCATTCCCCTACGGTACTCTGCATCTCTCTGCTCCTCTGAGTCAATATCAATGGGACCGACTCCCCGGCCGCCTGGAACGGGTCCCCCTGAGGTATTATAAACAGAGCTCGCACTTGTGCCACCTATTCGAAATGGCGCACCACATATGATAAGCACTTGAAGATGGAAAAGGCGGTCCAAACTCACCAATTGGGGTCATAAGCATCTTCCCAAAATCGACGCCGGGGGGAAAGAGAATGTATTTATCAACTCCGACAGTAAGATTCCTGAGCGCAAATAATCAGCCTACAGATTCAGAACAAACAGAAACACGATGGCTTGAAAGCGGTCGCTCAGAAGTACCCACTTCCATGCAATGAAACAATCCTCGAGCCAAGTATGATTGACTATTGGTATCGACCATGCAACTGCGCGCTGTGTTTTAGGCGAAGGAGAACTATGGGCTATCAGTATAGCTGGTAATTTGCTTTCTCAAAACACTTACTAGCCAGCAACCAGAACCTTGTTGCTTTGGCTCATACTTGGCGTGAACCTTGCGCCCATGACTTGAATAAGTTTCTTCAGATAATCTCGCGCGGCGCCAGTATAGTTAGTGACGGTGATTTCCTGAGCGGTGAGTGAACAAAAGGACCACAGAGCACATGACGGATTCTGCTCACGCATTCATTGAGACCAGGAATACCTCCTCTTGGAACTGGGTACCACAGCAAGCTCTCATGTGGATCATTCAACATGCCAGATGCATCGACGTGAAACATCCAAGTCAAGTTTCCGATCAAAATCGGACGAGGTGAACGAGCTGCCTATAATATAGCCGCTGTAAGATGTTCCGCTGACGTCGTCGAGTAAACAAGGGATATACCTTGAAGTATGCCTTCCCAGAGCGGTACCGCGTGACAAAAACATCACATTCATCCACAAGTGTTGCTTCCTCGTTCTCTTGTAACTCCTCGTCTGTGCTGGTACCTTGGACATGTGATGTAAGGTCAGGGAGATGTCACAACGAGGACAAAATTATGTTACCTTTGACCTTGACAACAGTTCCACCCGCTCTCTGTATATTCGCCTCCACAGCTTCACGATGTCCTTGTCCCAATTCTAGCGAGCGAGATAATAACAATCTTCTTCCTGCCCACACATTGACTCCTTCTCTGCACTCTGCTTCCTCCATGGCCATAGGGCTGCTCAGTCTTGTCTCACTACTCTTTTTTCTCTTTTTTTTCCCACTTTCTCCAATTTCTACATCATCCTCGTCCATTGCGACCTGCATGCCAGGTTGCAAGACCTTCGGATCAGGCCATAAGTAAGGCCCTTCGGGTACACGACGCCCGACGCGAACTGAGTCATCGAACCAATGCGGTGTGAGGACAGACATGTGGGTGTGTGGCGCAAAATGCATGGCAGTTTGGTACTACACGATAACAATGTGAGTAATTATCCCATGGTACGCGAGTAAAGCTAAGATAGAAAGTACCTTGTCACTCTGTTCATGCAATGCGAAAAGATGCGTTACATCCCGCGTGAGGCCCGTTCGCCACTGTCCTCCTAACGAGGTGATCCCTGCTGAGAGAACTTCGAGGTCCGATGGGGAGAGCTTGCGTATGAAGTTTGTATCATGTAATGTGAGGTAATAAATATTTGCTCACATCGGTGGCACACGCAACGATACCCGAAAAAATCATTGTTGGATCAGGTGAATAGTACTGCTCGCTAACAACGACTATCAATCGCCTTCATACTGATCTAAGATGCAAAGGACGCTCACAGCTGAAGTTTTCCAAGAACTATACTCCGCTGTACCCACATTCCCGATACTATATGCAAAGATCCCGCGTGTTCGTGCTGAGTGTGCGATCCAGCAAGGGCAATAAGGTGGGTGTGTGGTGGTGCGCTCGTTGCGCCATTGAGGTCCAGCAAGCCCGAAAGCTCCTTACGCTGTGCCGCCGGTATGGAAGATGAAAGAATATAGTGCACATCATCGAAGACAGCCATACTGCTCAAGCATCAAGCTTAAGGTGCTCGACAACAAGACGTGAGAGGAGGCGTGACGTGACAGTGTACAACGCGTGCCATCACGTCGCGTGTCGGCACCACGTGCCTCAGAACGGCCAACACCTAAGACCTGTTCCATTTCACTTACTCAGTACTAGTAGAGGAGCTCACAGTAGGTCGCTTTCAATCGTTCACATATACAGTGAAATAAATAGAAATTAAATTGAATATAAAATTCAGATAGCGAGCTTGTTGTTTGGCCATGTTATGTAAGTTCTTGTGCAAGGTCTTCGAGTGTTCAAAGAGTTGCTCGAATGATCATGAAAAAGATATAAGACTTTAAGTGTTGCTGATGTAGCGAGCCGCGAGCCCAATCTACATCGTACGGTTCTTGAACGTTGGCCGTGACGCAAACGCTTGTCAATATCCTGCAAGATGACACGAAGATTTAGTTTGTATTCAGCAATCACGAACACTAGGGCTCCGTGAAAAACTACCGAGTTTTTGACGTTGGAGTTTTTGACAGGTTTTTAACATGTTTTTAACGAGTCAATAACTCGGGGTTGATATTGGGGTGTCAAAAACTAAAATATATATGTATATGATCTCGGGAACATATAGCCTATCGAATTCTCCATCCGAACATCCGAAATCACCGAAAAATCGTTAAGATATGACCGACGATCTGTCAACTACCGTCCAATTGAGCGTTCGGCTGAATCGGCTCAATGATTGCAACAAAAATTTACCTTGATGAGCTTCTTCGAGGACATTGGGCGCAACAACGCACAGTTGAGCCACCTCCGAAAGGCACTCGCACAACTTCCACATAGTATCCCCCTCGGAAACTCCAAATATAATTTTGAGCACTATGCTCCAGATCCGGAGAGGGTCAGGATAGCACAGTTCCAACGCCTCCGGGAGGGCCTGTACAGTGGGCATTTGCATTACCGTAGCGAAAAAATGTCAAAATGACCTGAAAAAACGCATTTTTTGAGTCTGTCAAAAACTGGTCAAAAACTAGTTTTTAACTCGTGTCAAAAACCCCTCGAGGGTGGGGGTGAGTTAAAAACTCGTCGTTAACTCCGTGGATAGTTTTTCACGGAGCCCTGACGAACACGAAACTGGGACAGACTTTTCTTGCCAACCCTGGAACTGCGGAAATCAGGAGATAAGAATAAAGCAAGCAAGACTCACTTAATTAATGCCTCTGTTTTGAGTCCAGGATGCACTCGCTGAGCGATGGAGGTCAACATCACGGCCTCGGGAGTAGAATGCTGACCGGGACCGACGCAGTTTCCAGTTATTGAAATCAGGTGAGGGTCTCCCCAAGGACATCTTCGGCTACAATATTACATTTCAGGGGCACGCATGGACTCGTCAGGGTGCCACATGAGAAATCGTAGTATAGGGATTCGGGAATACTAGATCCTGCAATTGCTCTAGAGGTCGGACACAGGTATCCCACACCTGGTAGGCCGGAACTCAAGGTCTTTACTGGAAGAGGCAGACTGCTCAGACTGCTAATCTACGGCTTGGACGGTTTTGATGCCAGACGCAGATCACTTCAGTTGAAGTATTCCCGCCGGAAAGGTCGACGATGACCCTGATTTTGTCTGTGCAACTTGATGTATTCTACGGATGTAAGGTTGAGTTCACTCGTGATTGAGGTGAGAGTGCGATTATCATTGTTTCACCTTGTCCTTCGCTTGCACTGTACGCGCGGAACGTGTCATTTGAGTCGAAAGGAATGTTTTCATGCTTCAAGTCGGTTCCAACTTGAAAACGTTCCTTGACTTGTACCACATACCTAGTAAGGACACATTGAACTTTAATTTCAACTTCCCCGATCATACGAATCCTTCGGCTCGCCAATTGCATCATGCATGTACAAGAGTCACAAGACCCTTGAAAACCTCGTTGGCCGCAAAATTACTTCTATAGTACTAATACGACTCCGAAGTTGTCGTTGAGTTTGTTACGATTTTGGCCTAGTCAAATGACGAGATAGGTCACATATGTGGTGATTCTGATAGACTAACTTCAAATATGGCTGATGCCCTTGGCTTCATACACATGCAGCTGCCTCAAGGTACACAGCTATGATACCAATATCAATATTGCCAACTGCCCACTGGTTCTAGATAGGCTGGCTTCGGGTTGGGTATTTGCCGGGTTCACACACTGCAATGATTACTAGTATAAGGCTACACCAACGCTTCTCCAAGTTTAGTCACATTTACCTTCCCCCATGGATCCTTCAAAGATAAGAGAGAAAATCGTTCGCTTTCGAATCCTCGTTGTAGGAAGAGCGAATGCCGGAAAAACTACAATCCTACAGCGAGTTTGCAACACACGGGACGACCCAGAAATCCACGACAGCGCCGGGAAAAAGGTGGGCCCATGATATTGCTACTAGGTAGGAAGACGTACTGACCCATCGACATCAGATCGAACTTGCAGTTATAGAAGCATCCAGAGAGGTAAGTTGTGTTCTTAGTCGACGACAGGAACTGAGGTGCTCTCAGCGTGGACTGCACGACATCGAGAACGAAATGGTGTTTCGAAGCAATCCGGGCTTCGTTTTTCATGATTCACGCGGGTTTGAGGCAGGCGGCAAAGACGAATTTGAGAAGGTGAAGGTATTCATCACTGGCCGTTCCAAGGAGAGGAAAATAACAAATCGACTTCATGCCATATGGTAATTATAACCGATCAATCGCGACATGGGCTATCTCACGGTTCCAACATAGGTACTGCATCCCAATGGACGAAGCACACAGGTCGTTCACTGCAGCTGAACGGAGATTCTTCTCTGAGTGCGACACAGGAACCAGTAAGCTTTCGCATCTCACCCTCATCGACATTCGACTGACGCGCGGAATCACACTTCTCAGTTCCAGTGATCGTAGTGTTCACCAAGTTCGATGCCCTCTACGATGTAGCATACTCACAACTGAGAAAGGAAGGTAAATCTCTGAAAGACGCTCGAGAACTGGCCCCGAAACGCGCCGAAGAAACATTCCCAGACGGACCGCAATTGAAGTTTCTCAAGGGCGTCAAATGGCCTCCAAAAGGTCATGTATGCCTCCCTAGTAAGTCGGTTTATTATTGAGTTGCAATACATGATGACCGTTGATCCATCAGATATGAATGAGGATAATGCAGATTGTGGGGCGCTGATTGAAAGCACGGCTGGAACGTTGAACGATGAAATGTTGGAACAATTATTCGTCTCGACCCAGCAGACCAGCTTGGAGATCTGCATGAGATATGCAATTGAGAGGTAACTACTCATGGTTTCATTCGCCTGCCGCAGGTGTTGGGAACTGATATTGTCCAGAACGCTCCCAAAACATCTCGACTCTGCTAAGAGAACAACGACCGAAGACTACAAGGGGATAGTAGGGACCTTGGGCGCCTGGTTTCCTCATATTTGGGTAAGATTATTGGAAAGTTCAAAGGTTGCTATCATTGATGTCAAGTGTTTACTTGTAGGTGGTACGTCCGTCGATCCTCGTTCGAGCAAGAGCCATGCTGATCCAAGTCGTTGCCCGCCGTTCGCAGTATGTGAGTCCGTCGATTCTCGTTCGAGCAAGAGCCATGCTGATCCAAGTCGTTGCCCGCCGTTCGCAGAATGTGAGTCCGTCGATCCTCGTTCGAGCAAGAGCCATGCTGATCCAAGTCGTTGCCCGCCGTTCGCAGATCGTGAGTCCGTCGATCCTCGTTCGAGCAAGAGCCATGCTGATCCAAGTCGTTGCCCGCCGTTCGCAGATCGTGAGTCCGTCGATCCTCGTTCGAGCAAGAGCCATGCTGATCCAAGTCGTTGCCCGCCGTTCGCAGGATGTGAGTCCGTCGATCCTCGTTCGAGCAAGAGCCATGCTGATCCAAGTCGTTGCCCGCCGTTCGCAGGATGTGAGTCCGTCGATCCTCGTTCGAGCAAGAGCCATGCTGATCCAAGTCGTTGCCCGCCGTTTGCAGCATGTGAGTCCGTCGATCCTCGTTCGAGCAAGAGCCATGCTGATCCAAGTCGTTGCCCGCCGTTCGCAGAGAGTGAGTCCGTCGATCCTCGTTCGAGCAAGAGCCATGCTGATCCAAGTCGTTGCCCGCCGTTCGCAGGATGTGAGTCCGCCGATCCTCGTTCGAGCAAGACCCATGCTGATCCAAGTCGTTGCCCGCCGTTCGCAGATCGTGAGTCCGTCGATCCTCGTTCGAGCAAGAGCCATGCTGATCCAAGTCGTTGCCCGCCGTTCGCAGGATGTGAGTCCGTCGATCCTCGTTCGAGCAAGAGCCATGCTGATCCAAGTCGTTGCCCGCCGTTCGCAGATCGTGAGTCCGTCGATCCTCGTTCGAGCAAGAGCCATGCTGATCCAAGTCGTTGCCCGCCGTTCGCAGGATGTGAGTCCGTCGATCCTCGTTCGAGCAAGAGCCATGCTGATCCAAGTCGTTGCCCGCCGTTCGCAGATCGTGAGTCCGTCGATCCTCGTTCGAGCAAGAGCCATGCTGATCCAAGTCGTTGCCCGCCGTTCGCAGATCGTGAGTCCGTCGATCCTCGTTCGAGCAAGAGCCATGCTGATCCAAGTCGTTGCCCGCCGTTCGCAGGATGTGAGTCCGTCGATCCTCGTTCGAGCAAGAGCCATGCTGATCCAAGTCGTTGCCCGCCGTTCGCAGGATGTGAGTCCGTCGATCCTCGTTCGAGCAAGAGCCATGCTGATCCAAGTCGTTGCCCGCCGTTTGCAGCATGTGAGTCCGTCGATCCTCGTTCGAGCAAGAGCCATGCTGATCCAAGTCGTTGCCCGCCGTTCGCAGGATGTGAGTCCGTCGATCCTCGTTCGAGCAAGAGCCATGCTGATCCAAGTCGTTGCCCGCCGTTCGCAGCATGTGAGTCCGTCGATCCTCGTTCGAGCAAGAGCCATGCTGATCCAAGTCGTTGCCCGCCGTTTGCAGCATGTGAGTCCGTCGATCCTCGTTCGAGCAAGAGCCATGCTGATCCAAGTCGTTGCCCGCCGTTCGCAGAGAGTGAGTCCGTCGATCCTCGTTCGAGCAAGAGCCATGCTGATCCAAGTCGTTGCCCGCCGTTCGCAGGATGTGAGTCCGCCGATCCTCGTTCGAGCAAGAGTCATGCTGATCCATCAATAGAACTATCTTCGCGATGATCACTGTGCGGTGATGCAGTCCAAATTGCTCTCTGTAGTATGTCCAATCAGTGGCAGATTGTACACATTTCTCATGTTGCGAATCTGCCAGTCTTCCGGCTCATCACCCTTGGAGAACATTGTTCACCTTGTTTCTGGTGAATTTTGAGGCTACATTGTGATGAATCTGCTTATTGTTGACTGTTTAGCTGCTGTCATTATCTTCGAGCACTCTTTCTATATTTCCGAGCAGCGGCGCTATCCTCAGGACAGGCAGGATTCTGATCCCTGCTTTTATGTCGCTCTGGAGCAGTACATGCCATCTCCGCATGCAGCTGCTGCCAAGGAAGGTGTGAGCGTAGCCGTCCACGCATTCCAAGGACGCCCGTCTACTTCGAATGTTAAGCGATTGTTTGGACGCTTCCAGACAGGAAAACAATCCATTCATAACTCCCAAAAGATGGAGTTGGTCGACACAATTGTTAAAATTGCTTTAGAGCATCGTCTGCGTATGTTTAGATGTTATTTTGTGGCAGCAATTCCGCTGATCCGTCGTCTTCAGCAAGACCTCAACATCAAGCAGTGCAACACAACATAGATGGTGTTCCGAAGTAGAGCTAACGTGTCTTGGCAGTGGATGTACGTTTCTTGGGTGGTCTGTTGAGGTAGTTTCAGGAGGTGGAAATGTACGAAGTGGTTGCATAATCAAGAAATATAGCGCTTTCTCTGGTATGATGTACGGGTGTCTGATGCATGTGAGTCGCCCTCAGCTGAGAGGGTGGTAAGATCTACTGGGTTCGATAATATTCTTGGTCCGATTCAAGTGCATCGAGGTCGGGTATGCTCCACAGTTTATCTCAAGTTGCATCATTCTTTTTTTAAAAAGATCCAATTTATTGTCATTTCAGCGTTACATGATATAGAAACGCTATGAACGTCCCTCTTAACGTCAGTGACACCCGTTGATAACTAAAACTGGGCTGTTGGTAGACAATAACCTTCGAAACAAGCAGCAGACGTGCGTTGAACGTTTTCATTCTTTGAAAGACAGTGTGCATGTTACTATGGCTCTGGAAATATTATAAGCCAAGGGTGGATATCGTGATCTACCATCCGTGCGCTCTGTGCATCCGAGTCCCCGGCCCCCGGGGCCTACGGTTAGAACTGCATCATTTGGCGATCAGCGTATCGATTTGCAGTCGGGCTACGCTGAAATATCCTTTGACTGCCTTTGTGAGCCGGACGGTTGAGTCTACTTTACGAGATGAATACGGGAATACTTCATCACGAGTGGTCCGCGCTATGCTTGCATTCGCGTAGAACAGACCCAACTTCATAGCAAGAGTTAGTAAACATGGGACTTATCAAGTTCGTGTCACCAGCCAACACCCGTCGCCATCAGCTCGACGACTATCAAGTTTGTCTTTCAGGTTCCTCATCAGATGTGCCAGCGCCCGTGGCTGAGAATCTCGCATGCCAGGCACAGGGGAGGGTCATGCTTATCTGCTGCATCCGCTGTTATATATAGCATGATACGCAGAAGGGAGCAGCAGAGGGAATGAATATGACGTGGATTGGGAGTATCATTTCGGATGGTGCCCACAGCTGATATGTCTTTTGCCATGCACCTCATCGCAGGCTGCTACTTACCACTACTATGTATTACATAAACCTTGCGGCAAACAGGCTATAGCTATTAATAAACTTAACTTATACAATGTTCAAAGTACTGCGAAGTCATCACGAGTTTCACTGCGTGAAGACCGAAGCTATTAGCATAGGCCTATAATGATACAACATGGTAGTACTGTACTAGTTACTACTTATGATATAATCTACAACCAGTAGTTTAACCTGGAGGCTGGAGCTGGTACGGTAACTGGACCACAGAATAGCAATGAACGGCAACAAAAAACACCAAGACCGCTCCCCCCAAAGTATACCCGTCTTTCCAGATCTAAACATTATGACAATCGCAATTGCTCTCTGATCAGTGGAATAGAGACTATTCACGACAAGCTGGTTAAACTCTCCCACCAACGCCTCATCACTCTCGACACGCTCCGAGGCTGACGTGCATACATAGAAAAAGCAGTTTGCGCCGTGCTCACTTGGCACTGCACTCCGCCTCCACTGCCCGATGCACTGGCAGTCGAAGAGGGCACGGGTGTGCTTGTAGTAGTTGAACTGGGATTGGAAGATGTCGGTGATGAAGTATTTGCTGCCGCGAACGGGACAACTGCAGGCCCAGGGAACGTATACTGCACGGGCGTGTCAAAAATGGTGGGGTCGTAAATTCCGGGATCGTTATCGCTGTACCCGCCTGGAAAAGTGACTTCATCACTCGCCGGTGCGACGGCTGATTGGTCGCCCTGAATATTTACCTGCAGAGAACGTGATCGATATGGAATGTAAGATTACGAACAAACATGGCTCACCTGCGTACAGCTAGGGTAGAACTCAGCGCCGCCCATCTCATTTGCGAGATGTAGTGCGATGATCTCATGTCGTATGAGGTATTGCCCTGGAGCTAGTGTCGGAGGAAGGGTTACATTTGCTGGCCCACCATTCACTGTACGTGCAACATTCAGATAAAAAAGAATGGCGTGAATGAATAGACGTACTGATATTTTGCTGATACCAAACCATATTTCCTGGCTGCAGCCCCGTCTCCTCGATCTTGAACCATTCCGCGTTTGTTGAATTATACTGATCGCACGTCGTGTTGACACACTGCGCCATATAAGTCATGATGGGGCCGATATTGTGGGGCCAATTGCTGCCGTCACCACCCTTCCACCAAAACTGCAATTGACTGGATGGATTAGCGTTGGCAACAAGTGATGCGAGTTGAGCATCTTGGCCGCAATTAAGATACGGGTTGGAAGCGCCCTTCACGGGAGCGACATCATTGATCTGTCTGACTATGCTGGGAACGGGGTCGGCATTGGGGACGTTCCCATAGTAGTCTGTGCCATCGATTGCAACTTGCGCGACATATCCATGGCCTGAAACAAGTGGTAGAAGTGCAAGGATGGCCAGGGAAAACTGGTACGAGCAGTAAGACATGGCACGTCGACCTAGTACTTCAAGGATGTTGCAACGGAGGGGCTTAAGCTTGAAGCCTTATATCAGGAATGTAAAAAGATGCGTGTGATGGAAGGACGGTAAATTAAAGTTAGATCGGTGGAAAAATGCATACAAGGGGTGACAAGGCTCGCATACAGCGTGAGGAGAAGGCACGTCGTGGTATAGGCGGGGATGTTGTGGGGAAAAAATAAGTAAAACGCAGGCGCGAGGACACAACGTGGTTGCACTCATATACGTACATATATGCGTGGCCATCAAATTTAAACTTTTTATTGTACTGGGGAAGGACAACGCGTGGACAAGCAGCGTGCCCAACGTGACTCTTATATTGCTTCCGTAAGATAAGATTAGATGTACTTTCAAGTTTTCCTGCTCATCCTTTACTACTGCCAACTGCAAGTACTCTCCGAGTTCAAGATACAGTTAGGCATTGATCAAGTTATTGCATGAGAGTGTACAAGCCTGAGTCAACTGCATTATCGATCTGATCACCTGCACCATCCATTTCAGCTGCGAGCCTCATGTCCGCTGCATGTCCGCGGTACTAGTTACCGGTTCTCTTCCATCGATTGCTCGCCTTCGATACATAACGTTTTTAACTCACAAAGACGTCCATGCATTTGGTATTCTAGATTCCGGGAACTGTCTCCATGCCACATCAACCGCTCAGGAAGCAGACTGATTTCTATCACGGTGAAATTGTGCAAGTCAATCGGCTGCTGCTTAAGTGCAGCTACTTGATGACTCTGACAGACCGTCGCGATTTGGCGTTTACAAGGTACTCTGCAGTTCGTCAGCTTTGCTCTTGGCGTTCGGTAAGACTGAGACAGTGCTGAGAAATGTATTTATAAAGTTCCGTGGAAGAGTGGTAGTCAAGGACCCAAGGTTAAAAGGCCTGGGGTCGTTTATTATGTACCGAACCCATTTACAAAAACACTGTCGATTGCCAAGAGGGCAATTCCTTTCTGCCCCTTATACCACATATGCAAGGTATATCATATTGGTGCATAAATTCTGGTGTGTTTATTTGGCGGCTGCCAGCGCACCATCGACAATCTCGGTCATTTTTATGATAGCCTCTTCCTCCAAAGTCCGACCTACGAGTTGCAAGCAAACAGGCGCGTTCTTGAATATCTCCGGGTCGTCTGGATCAATCATATACCCATCAAAAAATCGCTGGCTGCTGGCAAAGTACTCACACATTTCGTGGATACCCTCATCATAATCGTCATAGAAAACACGACGAGGTTTCTTCGCATCAAGAATGGGGTCGACTGTAGTCACAGGGAAAGTCGTAGCGGGATAATCGAGCGCGTTCCAAACCGTGGTGTAGTTAGTGTACCTATGAGCTGTTTCTCACCAACAGCTCCAAATGTTGCAAATGCAAAGACACTGACCTGTTCTTCCCATGGGGAGTCGCTGCATATGATGACGCTGGACATATGATAGCATCGACAGGCCGTCCTGTACCAGTCTCTGATGATGTCGCTTCCCAATGGTCCAGATATTCTTTTCGAATATCTTTGCGCAGTTTTTGCGCTTGCCAGAGCTGGTATGCGGTGATACCGATCTTCTTCGGACGGAAGGGTGCTGCCGTAGCATCTGAATCGTCTAGCTCCATCGTCGCAATTATTGGTTCCCCTGTGGCAGAGGTCGTCATCATGTAGTCTTCGCTGGAGGCGGCGTTCCAGATGTTCCGCTGTACGATGCTGCTAGGTCAATTAATGACATAAGTTAAGAACAGAATTCCTTGCCGTGGTGTCTGCAAGCAACCTGTGCTTGATAGGCTTCCAGTCAACAACTATCGCCAAATGAGCATAATTCAGCAGAAGAGTTATACAAGAAAAACCTTTGTGGCCCGCCTTCTCGAGAGCCGCTTTAGTGATTTCCAGAGACCTCCTAATAGGCGGGTGGGGCACAACAACGCCATCATCCCACATGATCGCAAAGCACAAGTCCTTGCCCGATCCATGGTCTGCGAGATTGTATTCGTCTTCATGCCATTTCTTCCTAACCGCAAGAGGATCTTTGAGCCATGGTTTGGCATTGACAACAGCTTTCATGAAGGCTTTGACCCCGCCGACGCTATTTGTCATAGGACCAAACACGGAGTGAACCGAGTCTTGGCCCTCGAGTGAGTTTAGGGCGCCACAGTACGGCACACGCCCGTATGACGGTCTCAGACTGTACAAGCCACAGAACGAGGAAGGAATACGAATAGATCTGTCGAGAAAGCGTCAGAAGATTACTATCGATCATAGCTCCAAATCCTTTCCTACCCTCCAATATCAGAACCTACCCCCAAAGGGCTTCCTTTAAGGGCAATCAACGCACCCTCCCCTCCTGATGACCCACCCGGGGTCAGAGAGCGGTTGTGTGGGTTAGTCGTCCGGCCGAAGATGTTGTTGAAGGATTCTGGCCACTGAAAATACGTTCAACCCCAAATAGCAGCCTGAATCATGTTCAGCGTGCACTCACCATAACTGTCTGTGGAAGATTGGTGCGGACAAATGGCACGGCTCCGCACTCAATCAGAATGTCGACCAGTACAGCGTTTTTCTCTGCGTATCGCCCAATCCACGAGACATAACCTAAGACCAGCGATTCATAATCTAGCGGAACCAGGGAATCATCAATTATTACTTACCCATGGTAGTTTCCAGCCCCTTGATACAAAGTTGATCCTTTAGAGAGATCGGCAGCCCATGGAGGGGACCAACGACCTTCCCTGTTTGTTTGAAATGATCATCGAGTTCCGCTGCTCGGGCTAATGCGCGATCAACAAATATTTCCGTCAGGCAATTGACCTAATTGGCTAGTTAATACAATTTCGTCAAGCAAATGTCCACGAAAATTGGCTCACGAGCTGGTGAGCGACAACAGCCCTCTTGTAAAACGCAGTGGTAACGTCTACAGCAGTCCATTCGCCACACGCGAGTTTCTCCAACAAAACATCCACCGAAGTATTGGTGATCTCAATTTCTCGTGCAGTTAGAAGGCCGCACGTCTCCGGAAAACCAGTCACGTCCAGAGTAGAGTCTGGAGGAGGAGACACAAGCCACTCTTGTGGAATGGACTTGAGCTGCCTCTGCTTCTTCTCTGCAATAAGTTCGGTCCAATGCGGCATGTCGTTCGGGAATGGAGTGAGACGAGGGCAATATCGAGGCCTGAAACTTCACAAGAGATAAGACGGACAGGGTGATAAAAGGCTCTCCGGGACTGATATTTATAAAGTTAGAGATAAGACTTTCAAAGAAGACTGATAATAATACCTGAGGAAGTCTCTCCATTGCCTTCGCTGGGGACTGTCATAACGGTTCAGAGCGAGAGCCTACTGCAGCGGATGTCAAGCACCATCTTCAACATGCTCAAGCTGGCAGGAATCCGCAAAGACGGAGATTGGGCTTGTGGCAACTCGCAACATACAATTGGATTAGTGTAATTTGGCCAGTAGTGACGCGGTCGGGCAGCCCAGGTTTCAGCAGCATTGGCAATTTGGCTTCATCATTCATAGTTACGCTGTAGCTTGAGGTGAGGCAACAAGAATCGAGATGGAGAGAGAGCGAGCGCTGGTTGAAATTCAATATATGGAGACCCTGCAAGTGCGCACGCGATCCGCTCGTCTCTGGACCGCTCCAGAAGGGATTGGGCGGAATGGCCCGGAATGATCTTTACATAAATGTGATATCATGCTCTTCCAAGTTTCACGGTACCATGACCACAAGTCATGACAGCACATCAGCAAATTCCGATGAACATATCATGTAAAATATCTGCATGCATGTTAGGCTATATATGTCTTACGACCGCCGATATCGAAGATTAATGTAGACGAGAGCTGCTACATATATAGGCCGAATCATTGACTCGGTCCTCGGAGTCGCACAGCCTTGTAATTATGAACTTCACACGTATAAGTCTTCGCCACAAAATAATTGATTGTAATATAAACAACTTCGCGTTAGTTTCCTATGGTTTGTACTAGACTAGTGAGCTTAGGTCTAACCGAGACCAATTTTGTTAGAATAGCAAACCTAGAAAAACTAGCACCAATCATTCTAAGGAATCAGTAAGGAATGTCGACAAAGGAATGGTGGTTAGCAGGGATCGATATAGGTGCGCTCTGCGCCCTCGCTTATTAGGTACCGAGAACGCACATCATGAACTTGCGCTGTTAGTGGTGCTGTTTATGTACGGACCGCACACGTCCGGATCATGGTACGCCGCAGGGTCCTGGGTCAAGAACCCGAGTTTTAACCCCTCAAGGTAAGACCTACATAGACGGCCGTCAGATCTTTCATAAAGCACCCTAGGATGCGCTTGACTCACCATTGCCTTGCAAGTGCGCTCCCATTGGTGAGAGTTGATATCTCGGTTTTGAAGTTCCAGTACTGAAGTAATCATCTTTGAGCAAACGTCTTGATCAAATGCAATGGGACACGTACAATCCATCCGGCACCTTTACTGTAGGCCAACTTCTGTGCGTCAGCCCACTTGTAGAGGAACTCGTCCGTGGCAGTGAACTGCGTCGAAAGTCCCCACTCTCCGAACCAGAGTGGAGAGTTGCCGACCGCTGCATCGGCCTGGATACGTGTAAGATCTTTACCAAAAGTGAGTACATTATCGCCGAACGGACGAAGAAGACACACTGCAGATACTGATCAGGTAAGACTTCGGGTCAGCAGCCGCAACTCCCTATATATTTGTTAATGCGAAGCAATAAGCCACATGCACGCGACATACACCAAACCTGTGGAGAGAAAATTAAAATTAAAGAAACCATGAGAACTTGATGTAGTCAACCGTGTACTCACGAGTAATACAAATGGTTGTCATAAGCTTGGGGGCCAATCGCCGCGTCAGCTGGATTAGAGGGGTTATCGTACTGCCAGTTTATATCCATGAAGCTATGCATGCCATCGTCAATGTATCCTAGCAAGGACTCAGGGTGAACTCACTTGGTAACCAATGGAGGACGGGACTGAATGAAGGGTGATGCTTCGAATATGGTCTGCAAACCGAACGCTATTCCAATTTCTAGTAAAATCGGAACGGCTTCTAAAAGTGCCGTTTGCACCTCCACCGGGAATATGGATTCTGAAGATGTCGCACTCAATGCAGCCGTGAAGTTGTTCGAGACGGACGGTGATACTGATACTGATAAACTGGATGATGGCACAAATATTCCGAGTATGAGCTCAACTGCACGGATCACCTGGACGAAATTCTTTTGGACTGTACAGAGGTTCAGGAACCATGAGGGCACAAATAAAAGAATTGATGACGAATGATACATACAGTTGCCATAGCCGGGTGTCAGAGTCGCGTTCATAATGGGTTCATTGATTGCCTCGATTGCAAAGACACTTCCAAAAGTAGGGTCCAGGTGAGAAAGCGCAGTCATGACCGCTGTCCACACCAGTGCACGGTGGTAGTTGTATGGAGTCTGTGTGTAAGGATTTGTATTTGATGTTTTTACCAGCTGCGAAATGGCTCACGTAGAATTGAACATCGGAAGTGCAACTAATAAAAATAAATTTCAGCACAGAACAGATAGGAACCAAATGGAAACTTACTTTCCGGTGAACATTTGCCCAGCTGTTTGAACCCCGGGTAATGCGTGATGATCCAGGATCGCTTGAATTCCGGCATCTTGCAGCCAGCCCAAGCCCCGACGCTACACGCTTGAGATTAATTAGAGAATTAAACTATAGCAGAGCTTCTAACCAAATACTCGAGACCGCCCCGAGGGTATGATTCGTGCGACCTATCGACTAAGGCCTCCACAATCCAATATCCCAGCTATGAACGGGCGCAATGCATAACACATGAAAGTTTGCACAGGATAAGAAAAAACAAAGCAGATTAAACCGTCCAACATTAGTCTGACCAAGTTCGCAGTGACCTTGGAATCGACTCACAGGAACCCTGACGGTGTTAATACCGGCCGCCTTCAGCGTATTGACATCGTCCTGCGTAAACCACGTGTCCCAGTGTTTAGCGAATGTAGTGTCGACGGTGTCGGGATACGCCTTTGCAAATGACCTATTTGATCGCAGAACAAATTAAATTTCACATGCGAACAGTGTAGAATTGGAACGTACGACTCGGTTGAAATGCATGTCGAACAATCATTAGCACATGACTGTCCACCCATATTCAACCACTCTAAAGAAACAGGTTCAGTGAACGCATATTTGCAAAGTTCGTTGGTTTATCACCTTGAGGAAGCATCCATGGCTCTAGGAGCAACCTGGGCTACCACTTAAGTTGAACAGTCGGTCGGAGGCATAGAGTAACACTTACCATGAACCCAAATTAACACCGTGGATGTTGGTCAGTTGTCCAGCCCACGCACGGGCAGCAAGCGTGCCCGAGAGCACCACACCTGCCAGAATATGTCTCATCGTACAATTATTAGTCCAAGAGAAAAAATATGATTCAATAAAAAAAGATTCCCGATTTATATGAATATCTGTCCAGGCAGACGTGGCAGGTCATATTAGGTCGCACAGGTGGAAGCGCATGGGTCATTGATTGCACTGAAAGAACCCCTCAAATACCTCATTGTATCCCGTCACAGCGACGCGATGGAAACCGTCTCAACCTTCGTATCAACCATAGCCCGATTCGCCGTCCAGGCCTGGCACCTAATAGATGTGCGCTCAATGTCTCGTTTCTGGATGTTGGATTTTCAGATTAGGCTACTAGACGGGGTGCCACATGTACTACCATGCTGCTTCTTTCCAAAGTCAGTAAAGCTATCGAGATATCTATCAAGACTTACACCTGGCTCCCTTTCCCCCTTCTATTATTCGAGTCGTCGTTTATGTAGACGATGCAACCGTGCACACGCGTGTATCAATCCATCGATGTTACAGGAACGCTCTTGAAGGCCAGTCCCCAAAAAGGAAAAACATAGTGCTGTCCATGAGAACCGGTGAGATTGTAATATATAAGAAAGATTTTCATTACGAAGCAAAATATGACCATGTGAAAGCAGAGCAATCAGCGCCAACAAAGGCCACTTAAGGAACTGCTTAACCAATGCTTAACTGATTATAAGTTGCAAACTCCGATAACCGCACCCGGGCATCAAGTTACATAAAGAACGTTGTGACACTGCGGTCCTATTCTATTTCACATAATTTCGACGATTGGCCTAGCGGCTTGTAAGCACAACAATACTCATATGGCCACGTTCTCAGAAGCAACTAGATCAAAAATAATAGAGCCTCACAATTTATGTCCCGTGCATAGAAGTCTCTCCACCAGATCTGCTATTTAGAATGGGGAAGAGTAGGAGACGCGAGTCCATCCTTGAGTGATCTACGAACTGTATTAATAAGTATTATATCCAACGCAGACAGTGATACCGCAGCGCTCCTAGGTGATACCAAATATGCAGTCTATGAGTGATGTGTCCAAATCGTAATCTCATGACGGTTCTGCAAACTCAAAACCACGGATGACAATCCCCCCCGTCCCATCGATACACCTGAGTGGCATCGCCCACAACCAAGACAGCTCTCGTCATCCATGCCCCATTGTACACCTTTTCGATCCACCACCGGAGTACAGGATGGCGCATGAACCATTTGAAGTATGCATAATATCTATGCAAGGATGATGTATAAGCCACGGTCCCAACAACATCGATAGGGGACATACCTCCATTTGTACGCAGTGATTACCCTCGGGTTTACATATATGCGCTGCAGATTGAATTGTCGTCTCAGGTCATATGGGAGCAAAAAGCTTTCTGACGAGAAACATTCTCCTGGGGCAGATGCGCGGAACTGTATTTGGGGTGTCAGAGCGGGACTAGGACCACGCATGGAGGGATCTTGTGTTGCTGGGTGTGTCGAGGGTAATTCGTATGGTAAAGGGTCAGTAGAAAGCGTGCGGTTGGATCGCAAGGGTATGGGAATGAGAGGATCTGCGGCGAAGACGACGACACCGTTCCAGCAGGAAAATACAGGCGCGGGAGAGTCTGTCTGCATCGCGCGATAGTCAGCTTCGTCGAAGAAATATGGCCATCTTCAAGTCAAATTAGATATGGTTTCATGAACATGAAATTCGCACTCACATTCCACTGGTGAGTTTTGCTTGTCGATCTCGGAGGACCCACATATCGTATGCGCTTTGAAATATTAGAATGATGAAAATGGAGGAACTAGATGAGCGTACCCGAAATGCCCAAAGTCCAGACCGCATGCCATGTCATAGTCTCCATTATTCGTCTCCAGTAACTCTACCAAGGTCTCGGGCTCAATAAATATGTCATTCGAGAAGACAACTTTATCGTATCCTCCTTCCATTAGGGGCTCAAGTGCGCGGTTACGACTGGCGGCTAAGAATTCGATGCGCTCCCTCCCACCCAAATAGTCAGGTCTGGATATAGTCTCGTCTCCTGTGAGTATGCGCCGCGACACGCCCATGAGTGCAAGATCTGCATCTAGTTCTTGAAGAAGCTTAGGCGAGGCATCAGTACTATGACTCTCGACGATCGAGACGAAGACGTTGTCTGGACCGAGATAATGTATAGCTTGGACGAGAGAGTTGTGCCAGTAGGGTATGACTAGTTCATTGTTGTAGAATAACGCAGCGATGAATACTTTCTCTAAAAATGAATGAGCTACCTTCGTATCGACAGATTCGAAGAAGCTTGCCTTGTTTCCCGTACCCTTGTCTTAACGGATGTGCAACGGCAGACTGGACTGCATCTCTGTAACGCACGTCGCCCGGTTGTTCATAATGCGCTCCGATCCAGGTGCTCGCACAAAATAGGATGGTATAAGTCAGAAGCTGTATCCACCATAATTTATGAAACTGATGCGCCACCAGATGCGCAGTCGGAGACACAGGCCTAGAAGAGCGCTCACTACCTTCTTCGGCTGTTTCCAGCAACGCGTGTTCCTCGTCAGCAACGTCGAATGGGTAGTCGATAGGGCGTCGCTGGAGCATGGCATATCCTTGCTGGGAAATAGTCACGTCTCCATCCCATCTGCTTGAGAGTACTAATGGAAGTAAAAGTCGGGACAATTGAACGAAGGCGAATGTGGGCACTACGAAGAGGAGCATGAGTAAGAATCTCCATGTCGCAGGGAAAGCAGGTAGCCATCCAGTGAGAGCGGCGAAAAATGATATAGAGAAGATTATTTCTGTTGCGATGTAAATAGCGAGGAAGATGGAGAAGGAAAGGAGGATAGGATTGCGTTTTATTGGGAGAAGGATTCTGGATATGAAGTGATGGACATTTAGTTTTCTGAGAAGACGCCCAGTATAAACGAGAAAAGACATGGGGGGTGAAATCGAAGCATGGTGGGGATATAGGGAGTTGGAAGCTCGAGTACTGACTCCGAACCGAGAATCGTGTAAGCGCCGAACTGCGGTTTATTAAAATTAGACGCTGTAGTATATTCTCAACTGCAGAATCTGATTGGCCACTATTCCGGGATCCTTTTCGTCGTCACATCAACATCTCGATTCATCGTCAACCATATATTATTCCTTTTTCACTCCGTGTAGTGCTGCCGTCAAAATTTTCAGCTTGTTCAGAGGCGTTCCCTACTCACATTGGACTCATCAGCGAGTGATGTTCGCAATGAAAATAAAATCGATACGCCAAACCACTCCCATGGAACTAGTATAAGGAGCAGAACTGCCAGCAAAACTGGTTGTTTTCCGGGGCGGCAGAACCAGACTATCGTGATGTGTATAACATTCCTAACGGCGACATCAGTGTTGCCTCGTCCCATCCGTCATCCTCGCCATTGTAACTAACTACCTCAACCCCATCTAGAATGGCTCGTGGAATCATTCCGTGTTCAACCCGATCCAATTCGCCAAAACCTTTTTCTCGAGCACTTCAACTCCATCAAAGCTCTCATCCTTTCCATCCTCGTGATCTCCTTAAGAACCGCAAATTCAACAGCGATACCGTCAGGCGAGATACTATCTAGACCAGCAAGAAGGTCGTCTGCATCACGAGGCTTTGTCGAGAGCGGAGGTGCCCATGCGAAGGGTGAACCAAGATCCTGTGTAGTCTCAACAGCGATGTCAAAATTGTCTTGATCAATGATCAGTGATGCAAGGGGGCGTCCGCCAGCATGCATCATCTTACTTTAGGGACGTCCATTTTCATGTTCTATTGAAGCTATCAGATCAAATTCGAACTCTGCGGGTTTCCGATACCCTGGCGTCCTGTTAGGTTCTACCAACCTCCCTTCGCGTGAGTTCTGCTGTGGAGTCGCTATCCGGTGGTCTCGTATCAATGTAACGCAGTTTGAATGTTATCAAGAAATTTCAGTACCTGCCACACTGGCAGAATGTGTTTCTTCCAAGTTCGGCCAGGAGAACTACTTCAAGATAGTTATGGCTGCAAATCTGGGCCGCACAGCCAGCTTACCAGAACGCTCGGTAAAACTCCCGAGTTCTGCCAGCAACACTACATGGAACTCACGGCGTCATACATATATTTCAGATCGCTTATATAGTCCTCTTGTCTTCCAGAACCCGTAGCGCAGGTATTTATCTACCTGCCTTACCCCCTCAGTGTACTCTCCTCTCTCATAACCGTCCAAGACATGCCCAGTTTAATCCTACCAGAATGTGCACCCTACATCCACCCTCCAGAAACAAAAGAGGACTGAAGGAGTGTCCGATAAATACAATACGCTTGTGTAAAAACTCCCCTGTAGTGGAATGTGCGTCCTTACCACCATCGACCTTTCCAAAGCGCATACACCTGAGGGACGTGCAGAACTCTATCCGCAGCTTCGAGATGCACTAGTACGTACCCATGGCTTTCTCTCTACGCCATCAATCGTGGTTATCCCCAAGCTCAGGTACCACTCGTTCTTGTCACTCATGGTTATAAGGTCTCTGAATCAATGTTGTAGCGTGACAGGATCTTCGACATAGCTGGTGTGCCTTTTGATGAAGTCTCTCCGGAAGAAAAGAAGATATACACCGCCAGTATCGAGAGAGTCGGCTCTTATTTAGGTTATAAATTCCGTCAATTCTGGGTGCGTTATATTCCACAAAAACAAAGCTTATTGCTCTCATTCAGAAAGTCGACTCGGACAATGAAATTTTCGATCAGATCGAGAATTATGTAGGTAGGTATTACAAATACCCGTGTGATAGGTACTTTTTGCGCTTCGGCAGTAAACCTCAATGTCACAAGACGTCCTCATCCCATTGCCTTGCGCCCGTTTCTTCTAGAGCTCGATGATTTTGCTCGCCATAATCACTTCAACAGTATTTAGCCGTAAATATTGGCTCACATCTGCGATGCAATTCACTTGCAAGGGTAAGTATAGTCCTACCTCCTACACTAGATCATAATGTACACGGTCATTCGTGATGATATTATTGGGAATCTTCCCATACACTAGGATTACGGGGAAGCAATAGAGCAGTACCGACAGCGAGAAATACAATTGCGATAAAGAAGTAGTATATCGACCACGCATCATGCCCCTCCTGCAATGAATAAGAGAAGACTGAAGCTGCAGATGCCGGGCCGATGACCTTTGCTACTGCGACAACCACCATAACGATTCCATTGGTTGTTCCGAGCGAGGCGCGATTGGGAGCAGCTGCTCTGATGAATAATGCCATGCAGGCTATGAGCTCTTTTTAGTTCAACAGAACGCAGGAAGTGCTAAATTAACATACGGAAGCACAGGACCAGGCTAGTCTTCAGCGCAAGCTGGACGACAACACACAGCCACACCGCCATACCTATTCCATAGGCCCGAGCCAGAGCACTGGTCACAGGAAATAAAATGACGATGGGTATGCCGGAGCTAACACCGGTGATAAAGATAGCTCTTGCACCGAAGCGATCATGTAATTGAGTGTAGAAAAGCAGCCGAAATATTCCATGTATGACATCTGATGCCGCAAGTAAAGCACCGATGCGAGGAGGGTCAAGGGAAAGACCACCAAGTTGAATCGGTGTTGCATAGAAAACAGGTAATACCGAATTGAACCCCTTTTGAAACAGGTCCATGGTGGCATAACTCGCTATCACACTCAACACTTTCGGGGTTAGCAAGGCGCGCAGCGGAAGCGGCCTTGGTTGAACTTCTCCAGGACTCCCTTCCCCAGAATCAACTATAACGCTGCTCAGCCTTGAGTATGATTGGCCGAAGAATCCTTTTTTCATTAGCTCCCAGAGCGGTGTTTTGCCAGTGGTAGAGACGCTCTTGTAACCACACTTAGTGTGATCCAAAGATGGGTCTTTAGGCGCTCACCTCTTTAAGACGGATATACGTGACTAGCCAAATTATCGATACAAATAATGCTGAGATAGAGCATGGCAGGAGATATGGGTAGGTTTTCAGGAGTTCTGATCGCCCGAAGATGTCAGGGAATCTGTCTGCTGGTCGGGAGAGCGATCCCCCAATGAGTGGTCTAATAGATTCTGCTGTGAAACTCAGCACGAGAGAAAATGTACTGTATGCCTACCCAACTGTGTTTCCGATCATCACCGAAATTGGTATATAACTATATGCCTTGGGCATATTGGTTGCGTCAGTGATGTCCATCAGTATGCTCTTGACCACAGTATCGCTCGGATCAAATGCTCCGCAGACAATACGACTGGTCGAGAATGTCAGGAATTGATGATCACGGCTATTATTTGACATTTAACTGGACACGCTGACCTGACCACCAGACCAAAGAAGGTCTTCGACAGCCCAAACGAAAACATCGAAATAACAATTGCTGATAGAGCTATCAGTATTACGGGCTTCCGCCCCATGTGGTCGGATAGTTGACTCCAATGAAAAATGGTCAGGGTATGAGCTGCATAGTACGATGATTCCTGGAGAGAATAGTATCATGGACGAACGAAAGGGCAAAAACGATGAAGACATGCTTACAAGGATGCCGGCATAGTGTCCGACCTGGGATTCGTCTCCGTGAGTGACTCCAATGTCTCTAATGAGCTTGACAAAGTCCAGTTGTGGTCAGATATAAGTCCAGCGAGGGGAATATACTACTCACTTGGGGAATAAACGGGGCAAGGGTCCGAGAAGAAAGAAAATCTGGCATCTCCAAGAGTAGTAGAATCCAAAATTGATCCCAGGGAAGAGGTGTCCTGGCCGTTGGCTGCTCTGGTTGTTGCATAAGTGGTGCCTCCTCGTCATTCTGCTGCACAATCATGGTGGTGCGAGGGAACGACTCGGATGAAATATGCGGCTCGTTAGTGGAGTCGTTCCACATGATGAGGCAGTTGCTGACGGCTTGTTGGCTAGCTAATCAACAAGAACCTAGACATAAAATCAGTCACACGGCACTTCCTATTATGTAGCACCCGGGTATAGCCGGCTTATCATTTTGGCTGACTTTGGGCTGACTGAGGCTAGAAGGTCAGCGCCTGGCACGCCAGGTAGAGGAGACATAATAACAAAAAGCGACTGACTCAAACTCAAAAACAAACAAACAAACAAACAAACAAACAAGTACTATTGCAATATGAAGACAACGAAACGACGAGGACGACAACGACAAAGACGATGACGACGACGAAGGACGACAAACTACTACGACGGACACGCCGAGAACGACCCCTCCGAACGTCCACGTTCGTCGTATCTACTCTCCTACACGAGCGCGGGGTCTTCGCGTCATGTGCCCTACCGTCGTGTCCGGGGACACGCGTTGACAAATCCTTGCCATATCTTCCGTTCACCTATACTCCACACTGCGTCTTTTCTGAGACTTCGGATCCCAACACTTCAGTTACTTCATTCTCAACTTGCCTCCTAGAGAATCAGTTTGGCCACTATGGAGCACGAGATCGTTTCGTCTTGGTGGTACTCATTCTCGGTGCATCGTTGCCTACCCCGGTCTTCTCGTTCCCGTCTAATTATGACTATCACGTCTGTGCCCTCGTCCCCCCCCCCCCTGTAATGTCATCATCAATCATATCTCGCTCACTCATCCTTAATTACACCAATGATCTATTGCTGTTTCCTTCCATGTAGTGCTGTCGTCAATTGTTCAGTTTGCTGTACTACCTCACTACATTGGACTCCTCAGCAGCGGGACAAAAATGGACTCGATACTACGCCGAGGTACTCTGAGCTCTCATGGAACTCATGACATAAGTCACGAAGCCGCATCTATTTCAGATGGCTTATCTCGGTGTGAAATTTTAATTCTTCTGTTCATAGTCCAGGTATTTATTATCTACTTGGCACTTGCGTTGAACTCTCTACTATCTTCTCCAATAACCATCCAAGATATGCCCAGTTTAACCCTGCCGGAGTGTCCACACTACATCCCCCCTCCAGAAACAAAAGAGGACTGTAAGAGAGTATCCAATAAATGCAATACATTTGTATAACGTCTCCCCATATAGTGAAATTCGCGGACCTTCCCATCATCGACCTTTCCAAAGCGCATACACCCGAAGGACGCGCAGAGCTCTATCCGCAACTTCGAGATGCACTACGCACCCATGGCTTTCTTTACGCTATTAATCATGGTTATACACAGGCTCAGGTACGGCTCATTCTCGCCACTCATACTCAAAGGTCTCTGAATCAATGTTGTAGCGTGACAGGATCTTCGACATAGCTGGCGTTCCTTTTAACAACGTCTCTCCGGATGAAAAGAAGATATACACCGCCGATGTCGAGAAAGTCGGGTACTACGCAGGTTATAAACCTCGTCAATTCTGGGTCCGTCTTTTCTACAAAGGACCATGAGCACAGCTTATGCTCTTATTCAGAAAGTCGATACGGAGAATCAAATTCTCGATCAGATTGAGCATTATGCAAGTAGGTGTCACAAATACTCGTGTGATGCGTGTTTCCTACCCCTCGGCAGTAAACCTCAATGTCACAAAGCGTCCCCACCCCACGGCCGTGCGCCCGTTCCTTCCAGAGCTCGATGATTTTGCTCGCCATAATCACTTCAACATTCTCCATCCGATCCTTCGGTCAGTTCTACCGCGAGTCCCTTCTCGATGTTTTAGCTTACGAGCACCATCATACAGCTTGATTGCGTTAAGCCTCGAGCTGCCCGAGGAGACTTTGGTGGAAAAACACAATTTTGACCGAACGGGAGAAACCTCTGGTTAGTCTTTCTCCTTATGTATGCAATCCTATATTGATGAACATACTCGCAGTCAGGTTCATGAAATAGTAAAAGCCCTTTTTTTCGCAACCGTTCCCTAACTTACGAACTGTCGTCAAGCTACAGGCGCTCGAATGACGAAGAAGAGAAATCAAAGAATGTCTGGTTGAAGGGACACACAGGTACACTCGATACCTCTTTACTTCAAACTTGTCTCCTGAATTGCGCAGACATTGGCAGCATAACCATTCTATGGAGCCAGCCTATCGGAGGCCTGCAGATTATGGCTCCTGACGGCAAATGGAAATGGGTCCGACACATCGACAACGGTTTGGTACGCTCATAGAAAAACTACAGTGATACCTGGAACCTGATGTTCCGCCACAGGTCATCAATACAGGCGACATGATGACGTTCTTTACAGGCGGATACTACAAGCCTACGATCCACCGTGTCATCCAGCCCCCCTCGGACCAACGCGCCTACGACCGTTTGGGTGCATACTATTTCGCGATGCCAGACAACGACGTCCGTTTACTGCCGTGTGCTGAAAGCCCTGTGTTACAGCGCGCTGGTATTGAGCGCCAGTGTCTTGATGACGATTCGCCATCGTGCGAGACGTGGAGGAAGGGAAGGACAACGTCGTATGGGAGGACTGATCTCAAGAAGGGGGTGGAACGTGGTGTTGAGGAGGAGGTCATCGAGGGGATTGTGGTGAAGCATTATAACTGAGCACTGAAGAGCGGCGGAATGATTATGTATCATTATGATTGGCTGACTTTTGTATGGTTTTAGTATTCATGATTGCACGACCGTGTGGACGTCATTCGCACACGAGGTTCTGAGTCAAAGATAGCGGTATCCGCTGCATTGTGCTTTCACAAACAATTAATAGTACAGCTCTATCAGCTCAGAGCTAAACGTTTATCCTCGATCAGGTGTGGAGATCAACAATGATCTTGTGACAGTACGCCCGTTTCCTTCCCGAATGCTGTACGAAGACTCTGTGCTATGAAGTGCTTTGCGGATGTCCGTCCAGCAGTGGCATAGAGCTAGGCTCGGAGGATACCTGATGATAAACGTTGTCAGTATTAGGGTAGGACTTGAAATTCAGAGGGGGGTAAATGCACCCCAAGCAATGATTCAACATATTCAATAAAAACTTACTACAGTCCATTAGATCTGTTCAGCGCCAGTACAAGTTATCGGTGTTCCCTCTGTACATTCGCCTGACATCACTATCGCGAGCTGTTCATTGCAGCCAGTTAGTCTGAGTATCGAGCTTCAAGTCGAGTCGGTCCTTGTCAGTGAAACAGCAGAAAGCGGCAGAACATCATAGAACTACATAGATAACTGGTGGTTTGAGTAAAAAGGCACAAGCAAGGCATGCTGACATATTCCCACGGACATCTTGGCGAGGCGACCACGACAGCGAGCGCAGCTGTGACTGCCACGTCTGCTAGATTATTTACTACTCACTAGCTAGGCAACACTAACATGATGCTGGGAGGGTCGAACGGTACGCCTTGGTTCAGGGCATCGAGGCTGGAAATGCTTGTACAAAATGCCTGCGATCCGACACTCCATGAGCCCAACTATGCCGTTCACCTTGAGATCGCTGAATTGATCAACACCAAGAAAGCTAATACGTCTGTCAATTCTGCTCTTGCAATCTCTAGTTCTGACATTGAATCAGCCCTCGCGATGCATCGATGCTCATAGCACGTCTAACAAACCACCGAAACCCACATATCGCCATACTCGCACTCGCGCTTCTTGACACCCTCGTCCAATCGTGCGGCTACCCATTTCACCTCCAGATCTCAACCAAAGAATTCCTGAACGAGCTCGTTCGTCGATTCCCTGAACGTCCACCTCCATTCCCTGGCCCAGTCATGTCACGGATTCTAGAGCTCATTCACCAATGGAAGGAAGGTATCTGCTCTGAGTCGCGCTGGAAGGAAGATTTGGGCAATATTAAGGATATGCACCGGCTTCTTACATTCAAAGGGTACCGCTTTAGGGAGATTACCCGCCACGCCGAGGCACCCCCGACGATGGTGAGTTCGTCTGTGGCTTGTGTCTATCTCATACGTTCATATGGCAGCATAGAACATTAAATCCGCTGATGAGCTTGAGTCGGAAGATCGAGAAGCACAATCTGCTAAACTCCAGGAACTTATCCGGAGAGGTACCCCACGAGACCTGGCAGTCGCGCAAGAACTTATGAAGTCCCTTGCTGGCGCGAACCCCGAAGCAAAGCCAGACTATCGTTCTCAAGCCATGACGGAACTCAATAAGCTCGAGAGTAAAGTCATTCTACTCAACGAAATGCTCGATAACGTCGATACTGCTCATGGAGAAAAGTTCGCATCGGGAGACGCATATGACGTGAGTCGATATTTCACTTAGAAAGTTGGGAAGTTTTCTCACTCGTTTGAACAGCAAGTCGCGTCGATATTGAAGTCTGCCCGTCCCAAGCTCCAGAAATGGGTTTCGAACGCAGAAACAGACGATCCAGAGTCGTTGGGTACGTCCGTTCCTCTATTCTCCGGCATAGGTCTTATATGTTACTCAGACGCCTTCCTCCAAATAAACGATCGAATCAACAACGTCCTCACACGCTTCGAGGCCTACAAGAAAGGCGACTATAGCATATCCGCCGTACCCGCTGAGCTCGCACAAACCGAAGGATCCCTCATTAATTTCGATGACATGTCGCATTCATCATCATACGTCGCACCAGTAGATGATCTAGCTACATTATTTACCTCACCGCCACAACCCCAATCTTACGCCCGACCATCAAGTGCTAGCGCAATGTTCGCCTCACAACCCAACGCCCCCTTAACGAACAATACTTCTTCCTCCACTTCATCACCCGTCCCAAACGCCCCCTCGCCACAGCCCCAGTTCGGGTCCATCATGCTCGCGCCTACCCCACCACGGGTAACATCACCCAGTTATCTCGGGGGCAACAACGGAGGTGCGAGTATCCCTCTGAATTCAAGCTTGTCGTTGGGAATGGGTTCTCCTGGATCGGGTGTGAGTAGGCCACCAGCGACGGGCATGAGTGCGGTGCAGAGTGGAGGTTTGGGCATTCATATGAGCACACCCGGATCAAGGGTGAGTATGGGTGCGATGATGGGACAGACACAGCCCACCTCGACGCCACCGACGCAGCAAGGGAAGGACCCGTTTGCAGATCTAGCAGGGTTGTTTTAGTACTTGTCGTGTTGTACCTGTGCTTCACTTGGGTGGGGGTGATCTTGTTGGAATACGGATTTTGTGCGGTTTTGGATCTTGTTTTTGGAGGCAAATAATTTGAATTACAGCAGTACTGTGCGAAACTAATAATGACCGTCGAGCATGTTGGGAATTAAGGTTTTCCCCACCTCTTGCCCAGACTGGCCATCATGATTTCCTGGATGTCCTCCCCGCATCCACATATATGCATCACGCATTACATTGATCAATGTTGGCTAATGGAATTCTCTTCGTAGCATTGTGTATACTGGATAATGAAGCCTTCGAACGGATGCGGAAGCTTTGATAATCCATTCGCGCTTTGTCGTGGCTCATAATGTCCACTAGAGCCCTAACAAAGCGTTTATGTATGAACCCAAGAAGCCTCTGTCAACCGCAAAGCACAATGTCACTACCACCTCCAGGAATCGTATATAGTTAGTCCTGCTGAATGCCTACCTGGTATCACCGTTACCCCAAGGAGAATCAGGCGACAAAATCAAGTTTCAAATGTCTCCTACCAAGGTAAGCTTGATCACGAGCATACTTCATGTACTGAGTCTGAGTCTGGAATGTCTAGGTCTACGTTTGCCCTCGGACAAAGTGCGGCGAAACTTTTACGAAGTTTAAAGAATTCAAGAGGCACGAGGCTGGGCATGCAGACAAGTACGTGTTTGTCCTATATTCTATACTGGTCGCTCACATGAGCTCGCGTTCAGCACGCGCACTTGCACCTTTCCCGGATGTCACTTTGCGACGATAATAAAAAGAAGCTTCGATATTCACTCTGCCAGACAGTACGTACTCGTGCATTACTATCAACGAGTTCATCTGGTTAACAATTTTAGTACTGGCGAGCAACGGTATGGCTGTCCTCATGATTGCACCTTCAGGACACACGACCCTTCCGCCCTGACGCGCCATCGCAAAACAAAACATGGATATGTTCCTTCTTCGCGCAGCGGACGCGAAAGCGGTCATGTATCTGTCCCTTCCGCATCAGACAGGACCACATCGTCTCAGTCCTCTGCTTCGCCCCACCAATCACACCCTCACAACCAAGACCCGTCGTTGGTGTTCTATGACCTAGTGGATACTGAAGACGATTTTACCATGTTTAGCGAACCCGCGAAGACGGCCAATGGGTGGACTGAGGGTTGCATGTGCCCCGAATTGATGCAAAGACGCCTTTCGGAGATATTGGGTTATGCATTTAGGCAATATTAGTTTGCATAAGCTCAAGGCGACTTGTGTTCGTCGGCGGTAAAACCCTCTTTTCGTTACATCCATCCATCTATTTTTCAATTACAAGCACTTCGCGATATCTTCTGTAAAGGCTAATACACTCTTTCATATATGTGCTAGTAATTAATATAATACGCTCTTTTCTACATAACTTCATGCTCATAACAGTATCGGGCCCTGTTTTCGGGGTCCTTCCGTGAAGCCCTGCTCAGGCTGCTTTCAACTTTTCCTTCGCAACTAGAGCGGGCATGAACGCGCCTGAATCAAACAAAACCAGCTCCGCAGCACCTGATTCCGACTCTACCTTCGTCCCTCAGATTTCATCGTACAATGACTGCATGTCTTGTCGCATCATAGGAAGCGGCGCGTTCGCTGCAACCGGCATCTATGCCCTGAGAATGGCTCGTCCTAGTGCACCGGGGAGTATAGTTGGCAAAAGAGTCATGGGTGGGCTGGGAGTCTGTGAGATATTTGTTTGGACTCTTGTTATCCGCTGACGCTGGGCCAAGGTTTTTTAGTGGGGAGCGCTCTGAGGTGGCGAATTTGAGGTTAGATTAGCCTTCAGGGAACTCATTGAATGTTGGCTACACCGTGCCAGTACACGCTGGATATAACCTCACTTACACGAGCACGATCAAATGAGCAAAAACCTGGTTATTCGCTAAACGATGATCCACTGTAGTGCAAATATGTACATAGCTAGGCAGAGAATGTACATTTTAATGATCTCGTCCGATTATTTATTCAACCAACTCAGTAATTCGACGAGCTCCCGGCGTTTTATCGAAGGGCACCCTCATTGACCACTGTAGCACCCAATTCTTGTCAGGCTTCGCCATTCGTAGCTCGCTGTACGCGACCAACTCAGAGCGATATGTGATATCCTCTTCACGCCATCCCGTAGCATCCAAGATGAGCTCCTTAAACTCGCCAGCTGTGAACCGAGTACCCTTTCCTTCTTCGTGCTTGTACTTCGCACCATCTGGTCCATTAGCCAACCCGACTTGACGACCCCACATAAGTCCACCAGGTTTAGCTAGAAAGGCCATTGACCGTATGAATGCTAGTTGCCCCTCAGTCTGGAAGAGATGTACGACATTTGCTGAGTGCACAAAATCGAACTTGCTTTCCAAACTGGCGTTGCGTTCACAGAATAGAGGATCAAGGGCATCGGTCTGCTTAAACTTGATGGAAGGTGTGTCCCCTTCGTTGTACATGAGATGCCCGATGTCAAAGAATCCTAAGCGTCATTTTAATAAAGATTTTGTAAAAGACACGAAACTCACGGTTCTCAATATCGAGCCCCATGATGTCCTAGGGCATCTAAATAAGCATCCGAGCACATGATTCGACAAGTGAGCCGTACCAGTACTGGGAAACCATCCACGACCAACTTCCTTAGATCAGTTCCCATACAACATCCAAGATCAACCAAAGTCATTCTGTATGGACGTGAGCGGCGGGTCTCCTGCACCTCCTGATACTGAAAGTGATGATCAATTCTGGGCTCCGCAAAGATGCTTTCACGGATACAAGTATGTGGGGCAACCTAACACGAAGGTGAGTCTAGGCCAAAATACTTCCGAACGGTGCATTACCCTAATTCCCGTTCTCCGCGCATCACCTATTCTTCGAACGACAACAGCCGGGGACTCGTTGGAATCCTTCGAGAACTTCTTATGCAAACGCAGCGTGTCATCTAACCGTTTAAGGAATACCGAATCCGGTTCAAGGTCGACTTTATTGAATAAAATGCTGAAGAGCTGAGTATCGAACTGCTCGGGTGTGAGAGAGAAGCCTCCACCACCGAATGATGCTAGTTCTTTGTCTGGCTGCGCTTCAGAATCTGCTAAAAGAAAGATGAACGACGCTCACCATTGATAGATGTCTCCACGACGCAAGGCCAATTATCCCACCCACAGAACCGTTTAAGTGAGCCTTTTAGGTCGTTATACAGCAAGATACCAACAGCACAGTTCAAGAAGAACGAATCGGGGTGCCGGGAGAAGTCTCTCGTCAAGAGCGCGCAGCATAACAGAGCGGCTGACAAAACGTTACCGGCAGACTCCATCTGCTCTTCCAAATTCCAGGCAGTGTACTCGAGAAGCGGTTTAAGGGTATATTCCAACTTCATGAAACATATGACTTTGTCCAGATCACTCAGCGGTGCATCCAAGTCGATGCAAACCTTGCCGTCATCAATCCTCCACGAAACCGGAGCGCGTTCAGAAGTGGGGTCGGAGGATGTGGAAGTGATATCGTGATACATAATGGGGAAGAACCCGTCGAGGTAAAGCGGTTTCGCGATATCTAAGAAAGGACTATGATGCCCGGCAGCTTCGTAATCTATGAAATAAATCGCTGGATCCTGTTTCTTCGGCGAAATCATCACGTTTCCTCCGTGACCATCTCCTAGTCCCAAACAGGCCCACAGTTTTGGTAAAACTTGACCATGAGGATCGAGAATCCGTTCTGCCTTCCTGAAGGACTCCTGAAGTGGGGGATACTCCACGCCATCGATTTTCCAAGGAAGAGCGATGAAATCATCAAACTGTACTGCGTTGTCTCCGCTGAACCCGGGGGTGGTTGGGTAGTAATGTTTAGTGAATCTGACATCATTGTGAAGACGGTCGTAATAGAACTTGTGTATTGGAGAGTCTAGTCCTTCTGGAGCGTCGGCCAACTCCTTGCCGGCTGAGTACAGCAAGCCATATTCATACGCACGACGAATCTCTATATCCACAAACCAGCGAAGGGCATCTCGCGAAGACCTGAAAGTTAAATCTTCACAATTCCTCGTCCTCGCATATTCAAGACGGAAGTCATTCAAGGGTTTCCCAGGAAGTCTGGTCATAACAAGTGAATTGAGATCGGCATTGTATGCCAAGAGATTTGGAAGCATGCCAGGGGAGATACGAGTGCTTATTACAGGCAGCATCTTGCGCTCCCATTTTATAGAAGCCGCCGATGACACTTTGACGAAGGCATTTGTCCATTCAGTACCGCCTTTTGTCCTAATATGCGTGAAGTATGATTGTGAATTCGAAGAGAAGGGGCTGGGATTCGTCAGCTCCTCGGAAGTAAACTCGAATTCTCCGGAACCTAGGTCCGGTGGGTTGGTGACAACGGGAATAAGGGGAGTGTTGTCATTCGATTGGATGAAAGTAGGAGGGGCTTCGAATAGGAATCGGTTGTAGGGTCCTTGTATGTCATTATGTTCACCCAGAACCAACAATGTTCCCGATATCTGCATAGAGGTTTCGTCATCGGTCTCGGAATCCGACTTTTGCGAGACACCTGCGCCGAGACAAATTAACCGACGCATCTCATTCTCCAAATTTTCACGAAGAGTAAGATAATACGTCTCCGACTTATAGATAGATTTGATTGCTTCGTCTAGAGCGTCGGGATTAAGGAGAAGGTCTTGACCAAGCCACTTCACTAGAAGTCGACTACGTGGGGGGTCGAGAAATCGGTGAGAGGAGGTATGAAACAGCAGGACCGATGTGAGGAGCAAATCGCAGGTGACTCCCAAGACTGCATACCGAAGAGACTTTGTCGTTGTCGATGGGTCCTTCAACAGGAGGATATCTCGATCTTGTAATATGGATAAACCCCCTGCTACACGCCGAGATTGATGAACCAGGGCTGTCCATCCCAATCTCGAATGGAAACGAGGACAGCAAGGCACATTTCGGAACGAAGCAACCTTGATGAGATGTGGGGCAGGATCGTTTAACGCCTGAAGGATGTGATCCAGACTCCAGAGTTTGATAGTACGTTTAGAACCATCCGCGGCGCGACCAGAGAAGCGTATAACATCCCAGGTGTCTTTTTCCACATCGTTATCAACGAGATCCTGTGGGTAATTAGCGTATACGAATGGAAGGCAGCAGGGAGTAATCACCGTCCAGGAATCTCCCGGGGCTTCTTCGTTCACTATATGAAGGAGGGAACAGAGACTTGCGCGAAGCTTGTCATTGACGATAAGTCTCTCGATGTTGCTTCTGGATTGAAGGATGCCTAGACCATCCCAGTCTCTATCGACCTCTTCAGGGAAGGATTGAACTTGAAGGCAGTGTGCTCTGCTACCTCCGAGGAGAATAGCGAGGAAACCAAGGCTGGTTGGATCGATAGAGGAGTTTAGGTAAGGCATGTACGTCGTCTGATGGGGGAGCTTGTGAGGGGAATGGGGGTTCGATCGTTGAGGAGGTCTCGTTTATCGGATTACCGGCGTTTGAGGACGGGGTTTGGACCTGCGATCAGTACGGCGATCATCTCAGAATATTTCGATCCTGGAATATCCGGACATCCGACCCATGCATGTAAACTAGCTGGCGCGAGTCAGGTGAGAGGTTAACGTGGTAGATACACAGAATATTGAACGAGGCGAGGAGCAGGCGGGACTCGAAGGCCCAGAGTTTGATGGTGTCGTCAGAGGAAGCATATATCACCTGAGGCAGGATGGAATCTATCTGCAGGACGGAATCTCTCTGCAGGACAGATTGGTGTGGCACGAGCCTACTGCTGAACCGGTAAAAGCCGGAGCTGAGTCAGAGCTACCGCAAGGAACTCGGATTGGTCCGGAAGTAATACTTGGAGTTGTTCTTCTCTGACTTGGATTTCACGAACGGCTGCTGTTTCCTGTACGTCGAGTCACGTTTTCTGGGGAAATAAATTGCTGAACTGTTCTTCCATAGCAAGCGGTTTTACTCGGTGTACTACGAATCGCGATACGACAAACTCCCAAGTCGGGTTCCTCTCAAGGTGAACATTTTTTCGGGTCTGCTTTGTCTCACATCGCACTGACATGTAAAACCACAAATTTGTATTCAAATCACTGGCACTGCGGCACTGTCTAGACAATCGGACATTTAGTTGAAGGTGTGGTTAGAGTCCGCATCGTTCAGGCATTCAACTGTCCGCGAGCTTTCTGGTTTGCTAATGTGGTGGTATCATTGAATATTTGTTTGTTTGTCCTGTCTGTCTTATATACGGGTTGATGTACTCTGCGTTAAGCCCGCTACTGGGAAGAGGGAGTGATGACGCGTTGTTTGGAAAATCGGTCAATGGACCGGCTGCTTCGCTTTGTTAGTGCATTGTCGCTGTAGCACTCACTGCGGACTTACTGCCACTAGGTACCTTTGATGCTCTCGACTGCCTCCAGCGGGCATCATTCACATGCTCACTCCTGGCGCTGATCGCGCCGAAGGCGCGCCTTCCGTCAGAATTAGTATATTATATAGATACGGCACAATGTACCTTAGATTCACTTCCCCCACCACGAGCTGCCTCAATGACCCTTGCAGCGATCGTTTTGTCATCGTGGAATGTCAACAACCGAACTACTTCATCCATTGGACACCAGACGGCATCAAAATCCTCGTCGTCTTGTTCTGTCGTATGCATTTGGCGTATGGCGCAAGAATCGCCTCGTGCCGCATACCAAAAGATGATCTTCAGCACACCCTGAGTCGTCCTTTGCGTCACAGCGACGGGTTCTGTTGTCCCTCCAGGTATCGCAGATCGGACATCGTCATTCCCGTGGAGGGTAGCAAGGGTGGTCAACTGAAGGGGTAGTAGCTCAACGATGTATCCTGTTTCTTCGTACGTCTCGCGAACGGCTGTTGCTTCAAGCTGTTCCCCAACATCTTTTCTCCCCTTTGGAAGGCAATATTCGCCTGTTTTTCTCAAGTAGATGACGAGGACTTTAGATTGATCGATATCGAGGGTAATTGTGCCACAACTGATGACGAAGGATTCGGAGAGATGAAGAGATCTACTCATTTTCTTTCAAAATCTGGTGAATCAGATTTGGGATAAAGTCAGAATCTGGAGTGGGGCCTAATTATTAGGAGCTTACTGCTCTTGTGACGGTACAGGATCGTGGGCTCCAACTCCGGAACGTGGTTCAACTCAGGACAAGGGCGGTGTTATTGGACGTACTCCCGGGTTGCCTTGAACAGCTCTAGATGTGAAATTAGTATGGTGGAATGGCGTCCCTGCATTCCATGCTGCGGGATAGAATGGTTGACATACCAGGAAGCGTTCAGGTAGGGTAACGATGCTCATTGCTTAATAGTCATTATATTTCCCATATAGTTATATATCACGTGTTGGTAGTTTCTGACTGGTGTACTACTAAGTACGACAAACGGAATCCATTACTTTGTCACGTCTGTGCGAGTCCAGTGCCTAACTCAAAATATAACAGGATTCGGTGGAACCCGTCATTTTCAGGCATGTTGCATTTCAATACCACTGTTATATTCAACTTCGTAGAGATAAAATCACTTGATTCGACTGTTTTTGAGTCGATTTTGACAGAAGCGAGCATGACAACTTTCGTGTCGTCCCACCTTGCACGCGGTCGAACTTGCCTCTTATCGGTGGACGAGTTGCCCAAAACACGGCCATGACGTCGCCGGCGGAGACTTTCCCACTTCTGACGAATATGCTCATCATGAGGAACTGCGCCAGGCCTGAGGTGAGACCCAATATGTACAGCAGTCAGCTCGATCCAACGAGTCGAGGATAAGAGGGGTACTCAAGAGTTCATGTAGCACATCGTTGAACGCCTTGACGGTAGCTATGCGGTGATCAGAGTCCATGTTTGCTGTATGCACATGGAGTCCTGAGCAAGCAGAGGACCTGTGATCGACTGGGAGAGGTCTTGAATAACTTCATAAGAACCGGGACTGCGGAGAGAACGACCAGCGTTAATGCCCAGAAGCGTGCCATGAATGCGAGAGCGAGACAGCTTATTGATATTGTGAGTGGCGGCGGCCCGAGGTATTGTACAAGCACACCAGAAGTTTCTGGGAGATAGATAGATATGTCGGTGAGGACGTTGGTATCGGGACGCGATGGGTAGGTAGAAATTATGCCGTGCAAAGAAAACTTGCGGGAGTGATCTTTCGCAAGGGACCAAGGGCTGGAGAGGCCGATTGCCACGTCTCCCCGAATGGCTGGATCTGCGTGACTGCGAGATTGGAGGAAAAGGGGGCTCGCCTTAGACCTCAAGCCAACCTCGCGACGCGTACTGAATCGTCTGATTCCTCTTGTCGTCTCCTACTCGGCATTCTCGTGGTGTTAGCTGATCGAGTGAGAGGCCCTAGGCCTAATACTAACCTGACGAGGACTGGTTTTAAGTCTTGACTCGTCCTCACCTGGATACCGTTAAAAGTAATCAGTGAAACAGCGAGAAAGGAGAAGAGAAAGAGCTTATGGACAAAGGACTTACTGTCGACCTAGCCGCCCTCACGCGGCTGTTCTTCCATCCTCCCGTTCTCCTTGGACAGGCGTTGCGGGATTGAAAGAAGTCATGCATTATGTTATCACGGAAATTAAAGAGTGCACATTCTTTTCATCATTGGAACAAAGAGCCGATCCTATTCGCAATAGTTGAGTGTTCGGCTCTCGCTATTGGGATTGCCTGCGTGACTGGTTACTATATGCGAGCGACAATGGAAAATGGGAGTTGAGCAACTTATTGTGGCCTCCCAAATCCTCTTTTCAAAGACCGAGCCTTGGAGGACGTTCCTGAAATGGCCGGTCTTGGTGTAAGTCTATGTCTGGGTACAAGTCTTGGTACAGGTGGCGATGCTCTGACGGAGTTTGAAGAAGCCGGCACTCCTACGAGCATGGCTGACATCACCTACCCGCCTCTCCCACCAGTCACATCACACTTCACCCGCCGCCGCCGCCGCCGCCAGGGGCTGCATACCAACGCATGGGCCATGGACATCACGTCCAGAAAAGGGGGGAAGGAGCGCGATGTGAATAAGGCAAGCCAGGAAGACGAAGAGCGGGCGTACCGAGTGTCATAGAGGCAGCATTCCTGACAGTTGGCGGGCAGCGGGCAGCAAAGGGGCGGGATGATAATAATAACCGTGGGCCGCACGCTGGTTCGGCTCCGCCTGAATTTGCCGAGTGTGCCGAGGGGCACCTTTCGCTTTTCTAGCCTTTTCGTCCCAGTGAAAATGATTGTCGCTCGTCTTATTGCACTAACTTGCATAGTTCTATATTGGCGACCAACCCCTTCTCGGAACATTCAACTTTCACGGCTAGCAGTGTCTCATTTTTGACCCTTCTCAGCCTGTATGAAAGCACTTCATCACTCTGGATATCAGACCAGCAGGGAGCATTCTGGAGATCCCTGTCATCATAGGCCCTCTGTACAGCATGTACTCGAGAGGTCTTTTTCTTTTGTAAATTGCAATGTCCTCACTCAGTCCTATCCTGCGTGCTCCGCAGCGTATACTGGGATCTGGATGTAGGGACAGTACACGATTAATCTGCTGCACTTTTGAAAGCGCCGCTCGTTCGACGAATGACGAAATATCTTGTGATACAGTTCCTCGATATCTTTGGAACATCACGATTCAGATATGCAATCGCAAATGGGCATATGCTAAAATCAGGAATCCTCGTAAGTTTGTGACACTTATATCTAGGGAAAGCTACTACATCATCAATAAGGGCTGATCTCATACATTGTACCATCAGAGCCTTCGCGCTCCCCTTACATACGCGAATATTCAATCAATACTCGTCGCTCTACCTTTCACGACAGCCACTGCTTTGTCAGACACCGGTTCGATGTCGACTTCGAATGGATAAGGAAAACTTCATCGGCAAACACATGAGTGCTCCTCCTGTTTACTGTTCACTGGGACGCACCTGGCCAGACCTTCGGGTATATATGGAGGATCAAATGGCTTTTCCATGCCATGGCTATCCTTGGGTTTCGAAATCCGCATGGTCGCCACTATACTTGTTACAAGCATGAACACGGAGTTATCTGCTAAAAAACGCCCTGGGCACATTCTGGGCGTAGATGTCAACGAGTTTCATTATGTGTTGTAACGCGCACTCACCTTCTTCCAAAGCCAAACGCATAACTGTAAGGATCAATCGCCGTTTTCTTTACGTGGGTATCAAGAAAGCGTTCTGGAGAAAATGCCTCAGGATCTATGCCACTGTCCTGGTCCCGACTGAGTAACCTATATTGAAGGATAAGTACATCCCGTGGATACATATTTCTTACTCACCAGATATTAGGCATAACAGTGGTGCCCTTCGGTATGTGGTACCCTGCTCAAGGGGTCAAAACGTGTTTCCTGGCCGCTTATGATTGAAAAAACCTCTATAAACATCCGCATCTTGTAATTTCCTTGGTGCGCCAAAAGGTGTGTTGGGTTTCCAGCGGTACACTTCCTTAATTGCTGCATTGATATATGGCAGCCGTCCCCTGTCATCGAAAGATGGCAGGCGGTCAGTCCCTACGACTCTGTGTATCTCCTCGCGCATGCGGGTCTGGACCTCTGGGAAACACGCCATAGCATGCATGAAGACCAGCATGGTTCCACTAGTCTTTTGCACGGTCAGATAGATACATATCCCAGAGTTATGAAATGTTTACTGTGTCATTTCCAGCTTGTAGTCGGATAACGATGTCATCCCTCTTTTCAGTCAATGGGGTAAAAACGTACCTTCATATATTGACCACGCTACCCAGGGTAGTTGCTGTCTGATCACTTTATCGCTCCCGCTTTCCCTTAGATGATCCGAAACAAATGAAGCCGAAGAAGCTCCTTGTTTCATATCCTGTTCTACTTGCTCCATCGGATGGTGCACGATATCAGACACCCGCTGCCGCCCCCTCTCAGCTGTTCGCTGTATGCTGTTAAATGGGACCCAGGATGGCAGATACCATACTACATCACCTTCAGCTTAATTGTCTGCCGTGATGGAAATAGCCTTACATAGAGGAATCATATCAACCAAATAGGCCCCCGGAACCACGCTTTTCAGGACGATTCGCTCCGTTTCGGCAAATTCGTCAAAGTACTGCTAGTCCCAGTTAAAAAGGATTGGAGCCATTGTCCAGTGGTTCACTCACCGCATTGCTTGGGGTGTCGATAGAAAACCCATAGGTTATGGACGCGATGATTTGAGCCGTGGCCCTTGGTAATGCCAAGTCAGGAGGGAAGCATGGGTTGATGCGCAGCTGATCTCACATATGCAGGTGCTTCATGACTTCTGAAGGATATTCCACCAAGTCTCTCAAAAATCTGGCGGCAACATTCTCTTGCAGCGAATGATACTTCTGGACGGCTTCCTGGTTAACGTTTCCATGTACGAGTTTCCGTCCTCGCCTCCAATCTGGACCGTAGGGAGCGAACGACAGATTCTGTCCAATGTAGATTTGTTTTCAGCTATGAAGCGCGCTACTGCATGTGCTCACGTTCTCGATCCCCATATATTTGGCCATCACAAACGATGGCCTATCAGAATACTTCTGCGATCTCTTCTCAAGAAGCTCGCGCATACTTTCCATGTCGTTCAGGATGAGAAGTTTGTTTCCGAGGACTTCTACGTATACGAGGTCGCCTGCTTGCACTATTGAATATACGTCCAAGGGTACAGCATTTTAGGACAGACCATATAGCTTTCCCCATTGCGAGAATGTTTTCCATGGCTCCGCCTTGGGGACGTCGAGATAATTCCCTATCAATGGTTTCTGCGGCGGGCCAGGTGGTAGCGAGTGGGTTCTATTCTGCTGACGCAAGTGATGTCCTATCACCCCCAGGACGAAGATGAACGACGAGCACGCAAGCCAATCCAAAGCGTTTAAAGCCATGTAGCGGGTGCTTTTTCGTTGTATACTTAGTTGGCTCTTCTCCTTTTATCTGCCAATGAGCGCTTCTTGATACAGTCCAGGCAGGTCTCGTGTTCTAGCAGATGACACTTGCAAGCCTATTTAGCAATTCTGACGTGCTTCGCTGAGGTGCCGAATCCCGCAAAAATTGGAATTTCAAGAATAGGTCATAGAGTTGACTTCACTCATGATGAAAAATCGCCGAATCGATAACCAAAAAGAATTAAGGGAAATACCAAAGTACTCCGCTGTCCCCAGTTGTTCTGAGGCACTATCCACTACCTTCAAAACTCTGCAAATGTGACTAGCTTAGCTCAACCACGTCGTCCACTGGTTGTCCTCTCCCTTCATCACCGCAGTCAACTCCCTAGCCAGGATTCTGGCGGACTGCTGCGATGGGTGAAGTTCGTCGTACCTAAG